TCAAAATACCAATTATCTTAAGACTGCATGTATATAAAATTGATGAAAACAATGAAATCAAGATTCCACAAAAAATACAATGATTTTTTGATCTACCTAAATTTGTATCCACAAAAATAACTGAACTTAAATATTTAAATCATAATAATTTGTTACAAGAAAAATTAGGCAAGTTAATTGGTGAGAAACTGTTTCCTCTTAGTATCTTAGGAAAAAATATAGAAATCCTATCCTGTTTCCTCATTCATTCATGGACATAACTCGATTATAGGAAGTGATTATTTAAATGAGAAGTAAATAAAAATAAATTAAGTATAACAGAAGGAAATTATCTGCAATTGTCCAAAAATAGAAATACAATTACAACTGATGTAATTGATAATCTACAGAAATGAAAATTGTTGCAATATTAATAAAATAGATGGATACTTTTAAGGTTAGGCAGATGACACTTCTGCCATTGCATGATAACCACACATTATATGATAAACTTTATATCATGTCAACATACTAAGCAGACTCTTTATAGTTGTGAACAACATAACAAGACAAGCTTTACTTCAATCTGACAGATTTCGATATTGATCTTTTGCATTTATATTTGTAATGTGCATGGAACTACATAAATCCAATTTCACTGAATTTGTTAAATCAGATAAACACTAGTTGCAAAAATATAACATATCTGATTTAAATGATACATATTTAATGAAAAGTTTTTTTGGATGTCAAATATCAAAACAGTGCCAATCACATGGTACCTATGAAGGGGTCATCTTAGGGCTTATTACATATGTAAGCTGTTTGAAATGGAAACTAGTGAATTTATATGTTGTGCACAAATAACGCTGGCCAGAAATTTACTTGTCTTGTAAGTCAGTTAATTTAATGTTATGTTACTGTACCAAAAATTAACAGATTTAATGGATGAGCGATCTTACCAGCCTTGAGGGTAGGTGTTTTGACTAAAGTGCATACTATTCTTGCTTATTGAGTTTACAATATGACATAATTGTCAATGCATACTGATAGAATTTGGAATATTTAAAAACACATGCCTTTAAACAGATGGAAAAAAGGGGGATTCAAATTCAGATTCAATATTTATTAAAGTCTCACCACTTGTATAACATAAAACATTTGTATCCAAATATAAAACATAGTGTATATTAAACCTAACAGTGAAATATCATTAGCTTAAATACTAAAACATTAGGGATGTGAAGATGTGATTTTCATCACAAAAGATAATGTGAAATAATGAGAAAATTTTGAATTAATTAGAGTTTGACATACATGTATTGCATCTATAGACAGTTTTCTATTGTTGAAGAACTTGACCTTTTGTTGTCTTTGTTTTTTTTTGTTTGTTTGTTTGCTTTCTCGTTGACATGTTTTGTTTGTAAATATATCCTGTTTATATGAAGAAATTGTAGAGTGTGAAACAAGATACTCTGTATACACTGAAAAATGTTTAAGAATATACATACTGTATATTCAGAAATTATTGCGATGTTTTTATTATTGCGAAAAATGCAACCAGGTTATAATTGCAATAATTAAAACTCGCATTTTGAAATTTTCTATATGAGTTAAACAGGATTTTTCTCAATATGGCAAAAACTAAAATCGCATTTTAGTCTAAAATGACAAAATCGCAATAATAAATGCACGCAATAATTTCTGAATTTACAGTAGGATATGACTTATATGGGTGGAAATGGGAAATTGTTCCAGGTTAGTTTGTATTAGGCAATGCACTGGTAATAAGTACATGTACTGGGTTATGAAATCTGCAAAGAAATTATCCCTTGTTATTTCAGACTGACATGCAATTTCATAATATATATATAAGCAGATTTTAAGATTATGAGTTATTTTAAAAAACCTTTGTTAAAATAATAAGAATGATTGTATTACCGATAGTCATATGCTTGATTAGTTGCAGTAGGTTAGTTTATGGAATGATTTTTGTCTCGCCTTGACAGAGTTAATCAAAGTACTGAATTACTGAACATTGGATGACTGCAAGTTCTTGTGGATGGTCACAAGCACTTGTCTCAGAAAAAAAAATCACATCTCTATACCTAAAAGTGAGGTTAATGTACAGATATAATTTTTTTTTCTTAGACAAGTTCGTGCGTGGATGATAAATAAATGACAGGGAATTAAACCTCACCGTAATAAATATGATATTGAAGTGATACAAATCAGTATACTCTGGTTTGTTGTTCTATATTATATTAATATTTGTATATTACAGTTACATGTATATATAATTTTCATCCATTTGTATATCATTCTATTCTACTATATTAATAATAGTGCAGTGCAAGTGCATGGTGGACACTCTTCTGTAATAATTCGATATTTCTAATAGATTGGATTTGAGTAGGCATTCATATTTTCCCGCCAAACTTCCAACCTCCCATGCAGAGTTATTGGTCCTTGAGAGAGAGCGAGGACCGATAACTCTGCATGGGAGATTGCAAACGTTCTTGAGATATTCTTCCGCATGCGTTAACACACATTTTCTGTATGTGTGCATAGATATTAAAGATTTTTTACTTACATATATATTTCTAACGACAAATCATTTTCATATTATTAATTTATGTTCTAAAAAAAATATTTTTAGGAGTATCCATTGAAAATATGAATTTATAACAAGCGATAAGGAATGTTATTTTGCACTCGATAATGTCCGCGTATTTATCATGTTTATAGATCGGTTACAATCCCAACATGAAAGTTACGTAATGGAATTCTAGGCGACAGCAATACACCGGAATGCCCTCACGGTAATCCGTTGTAAAAAGCATGACATAGGTATGCTTTTTCCGGAGGCGGCGATGTCAATAATGTTTTAGTTTGTGATTAGGTCTAGTATGATATTTGGTATGCAGTTGTATAAACATTGGCACATCTCATTTCCATGGAGATTATTTGGCTCCGCCCCCTCAGTCATGGTCTATTGACTTTAAAACTTTTGCTTAGTTTACATGTATTAGTTTGTGATTAGGTCAGTTCAAGGGGAAGCATTAGTGGTAGGCCAATGTTAATTGGTATGCAGTTGTATAAGCATTAGCACATCTCATTTCCATGGAGATTATTTGGTCCTGCCCCCTTAGTCATGTTCTATTAACTTTGAAACTTTTGCTTAGTGTACATGTATTAGTTTGTGATTAGATCAGTTTTAAGATGAACCACTAATGTTAAGTCAATGATATTTGGTATGCAAATTTATTGGCATTTGCAAGTCTTGTTTCCATGGAGATTATATAGCCCCACCCCCTCATCATGGTTCATTGACTTTGAAACTTTTATATAGTTTACAACGACTTATGATAAGTCAATGGTGTTTGGTATGCAGTTGTATTAGCATTGGCACATTTCATTTCCATGGAAATTGTTTAGCCCTGTACCTTCAGTCATGGTTCGTTGACTTTGAATATTGCATAACTTTCATGTTAAAGTATTGCTATTTTAATTTCAACATTTGCATTATCAAAATAACAAATAGGCGAGACATGTCTCTGTGTTAACAGTTTATTTAGTTCAAGTTATTTAAGTTAAAGGAGTAGTATATCATGTCCACGGTACAGCACTGTTAGATCTTGTGTAAGATATTTCTATTACCAGCATTTTATTCCTTGAAAATTTAATAGAAATATGTAGCCTTAAAGATTAGATTATTCATATATAATCAGAAAATCAAAGGGTGGAAAAGTAATTTATTTTGTATAAAGCAACAGCAACAATTTCACTATGTTGCTGGAAGAAACCATAAAAAAATGTAGAAGGTCTCTTATTTGGATGCAAGCAACATGTGTAAGACCATTTCTACAGCTGCAAGTTTGGAAGGCCTAGGAATCATATTAGATATTTGTTTTTATAATTTTATAAGATTAACAAGTGTGGACACAGATCAGTGTGGATAGTATGATTGGATGTTTGACAGTATCATTAGTAAAAGATTTCGGTTAAATGTGGAAATTGTTTCTCAGTTTAGAAGACATTTAATGTTTTTTAGTAATGACAATGCCTGACATGATGATTGGGGCTAGATGAGCTAGAAAGTGAATTTCTGTGTTATTTTTTAATAATTCTTTGAAAATATATCCTCCAAAGCTGGTCAAAGCAAAAAGAAGTTTTGACCAGTATGAAAATGATATCAACAAAAGAACCTTTGTGAGCATGCTTCAAAGACTCATAACTAACTACAGAAGTCATATGATAAAATGTCAGGTGGATATTATAAACATCTACTTAATATGTCTAAATATCTAAAAAGTTTTAGTATTCAATATGAAAAAGCTATTGCAAAAGTATTCTCTTTTCAGTTTTTTTTGTTATATGGATACAAATATAAGTGATACCAATACAGTAAGGCAGTTTTGTTATGGTATGAAAGTGTAGTAATTAGCATTTACTGTTAATTCACACAAATTAAGAAATAAACAAATGAATGATAAATGTTGAACATGTACAATGAAATATATTTTAGAAATCAATTAGGCCAGATAGGCCTTATAAATTTTGGTCTTTTTTTTAACATACTGAATGACCATTTACTCTCAGGACTGAGTCGCCAGTAGGCAGTACAGATGTAAAACAATGTGGATAGTGTCCACATGTGGACACAGATGATGCCCCCGCTTGCATATCATATAGTTATAAAGGGACATAACTGAAGAACGGTAAAAGTGACGCTACCCAAATTTGAACTTGATCTGAGTTTTGTGGTAATAAGCATTGTGTGTAAGTCTCATAACATTTGGTTGAGGCTAACTTAAGTAGAGAACAGAAACTCAAAATTCAGCAATTTTTCTATTTGTAAACACGCATAACTCTAGAACGGTTGTGTATAAGTTTTATAACATTTGGTTGAAACAAACTAAAGATGGAGAACGGAAACGAAAAAATTCAGCAATTTTTGTCGAGCCTGCGACTTTTGTCACAGAAAGCTCGACATAGGGATAGCGATCTGGCGGCGGCAGCGTTAGCTAACTTCTTAAAAGCTTTATATTTTAGAAGATGGAAGACCTGGATGCTTCATACTTTGTATATGGATGCCTCATGTTACGAAGTTTCCGTCAGTCACATGTCCAATGTCCTTGACCTCATTTTCATGGTTCAGTGACTACTTGAAAAAAAAGTTCAGATTTTTTGTAATGTTAAATTCTCTCTTATTATAAGTAATAGGATAACAATATTTGGTATGTGCGTACCTTGCAAGGTCCTCATGCCCGTCAGACAGTTTTCACTTGACCTCAACCTCATTTCATGGATCAGTGAACTAGGTTAAGTTTTCGTGGTCAAGTCCATATCTCAGATACTATAAGCAATAGGTCTAGTATATTCGGTGTATGGAAGGACTGTAAGGTGTACATGTCCAACTGGCAGGTGTCATCTGACCTTGACCTCATTTTCATGGTTCAGTGGTTATAGTTAAGTTTTTGTGTTTTGGTCTGTTTTTCTTATACTGTATGCAATAGGTCTACTATATTTGGTGTATGGAATGATTGTAAGGTGTACATGTCTAGCTGGCAGGTGTCATCTGACCTTGACCTCATTTTCATGGTTCAGTGGTCAAAGTTAAGTTTTTGAGTTTTGGTCTTTTTTTCTAATACTGCATGCAATAGGTCAGCTATATTTGGTGTATGGAATGATTGTAAGGTGTACATGTCTAGCTGGCAGGTGTCATCTTACCTTGACCTCATTTTCATGGTTCAGTGGTCAAAGTTAAGTTTTTGAGTTTGGGTCTTTTTTTCTAATACTATATGCAATAGTTCAACTATATTTGGTGTATGGAAATATTTTATGATCTATATGTCAGTCACGCAGGTTTTATTTGACCTTGACCTCATTTTCAAGGTTCATTGCTCAGTGTTAAGTTTTTGTGTTTTCGTCTGTTTTTCTTAAACTATAAGCAATAGGTCAACTATATTTGTTGTATGGAAGAATTGTTAGCTGTACATGCCTGCCTAGCATGGTTCATCTGACCTTGACCTCATTTTCATGGTTCATTGGTCAATGTTTAGTTAACTTGGTTAATGTTAAGTTTATGTGACAGTTGTAATAAAGCTTTATATTTAGGACTATCAACATAATATCAATGATTAGTAAAGAAGGCGAGACATTTCAGCGTGTGCACTCTTGTTATGTTTATAAAGGGACATAACTCAAGAATGGTAAAAGTGTCGCCACCAAATTTCGTACTTAATCTGTATTATGTAGTAATAAGCATTGTGTATAAGTTTCATAACATTTGGTTGTGGCAAACTAAAGTTAGAAAATGGAAACAAAAAATTTGTACTTGATCTTAGTTTTGTGGTAATGAATATTGTGTATAGGTTTCATAATGTTTGGTTGGGGCAAACTTAAGTTACAGAATGGAAACTAAAAATTTAGCAATCTTTCGATTTATAAAGGGGCGTAACTCAATAATGGTTAAAGTGACCCTACCCAAATTCAACTTGATCTGTATTTTATCAGTGGAAGTCAAAATTAAACATTGCATTGTATAAAGCATTGATTGTAGTTGATTCAACTATAATCATGGACAAAGGAAGATAACTCCAATTTTAAAATTACTTGATATTTAGAAGAAAATAAAAATTTAGCAATTTTTCCATTTATAAAGGGGCATAACTCAAGAACGGTTTAAGTGACGCCACCAAAATTCAAACTTGATCTGTGTTTTGTGGTAATAAGCATTGTGTATAAGTTTCATAACATTTGGTTGAGGCATACTCAAATTAGAGAACAGAAACGAAAAATTCAACAATTTTTCCATTTGTAAAGGGGCATAACTCTAGAACGGTAAAAGTGACGCTACCAAAATTCAAAATTGATCTGTGTTTTGTGGTAATAAGCATTGTGTATAAGTTTCATAACATTTGGTTGAGGCAAACTAAAGTCAGAGAACGGAAACCAATTTTGGGACATACGTACGTTATGCCCCCTCCGCTACGGCGGGGGCATAAAAATAAAGTGTAACAAAAGAACCTAGCATCATATTGCTAATAGCGCCAGTAGCATTGTTTGGTGAATTTGTGCTTTTTTTTTTTCAGTTTGGCTAATGGACAAAAAATGTTTGGTTCAAATCTAAATAAAATGCTTTTATCTCCCTATTACTTACATTGTACATAGAATAGATACTACTTTGACAATTCCTTGTACATGAGAGTTGTCTGTCAAATCTTTATTTCACAAAGAATGAATTGCATAACAATGAACTGAGCTCAAAGCAAAGCACTTTAATAATACACTTAGACAATGAGCTCAATCCAGTTATATACTTTGTACTACAGGTCCTTCATGAACATCCTACTGGTCAAAACCATATCTCACAAACATGCCATACTACATGGTTGGATCAGAAGTCCTGAAAAGGACATGAACTTTATTAACATAGTTTAAGTATAGCAAATTAGTTAAAGCGGTTTTGAGTTAATGTCCGACATGTTGACGATGGACAGACAGACGGACAACAGTATACAATAGTACGTCCCGTAAACGGGCGTATAAAAATGACAGGGTGTCATACCACACCAAAACCTTCTGAAGGAAACACTAAGTTGGCAAACAAATTTTTTTTTTTTATCATTGACAACCCTGTATAACCTTGCAGCAGTATCGAGTCTACATGCATTACCTTGTATATTTCATGTACATTGAACTTAAAAATATGTGGTCATTGTCAAAGTTAGTTATGTCAGTTATAATTTACACATTTACTGAAACATGCCAGAGAAGTGCAAGTACAAACTTTTGAATTTGATCTGCAAACTGGGAAAGCCATCCTTTTATATGAATAAAATTCCACAATTTATTAAATTGAAAGGGAGCTTGCATCAATAGATATATATAAACAATTAACCAAAGTTTCATTATCCCGCATATTATTACATGTACATTGAACTAAAACAAATTGTGGTCATTGTCAAAATTATAATTTACAGTTTACTTTTCCAATGCTTTCAATTTAAGATTAGGGCATTTTTGTCATTGGAATTGAGTTTTGTAGTCGGGAGATTACTCTAACCTCCAACGACTGTTTTGCGACATCAGCTAGGGCAGTGGGACTTCAGCAGGTCCCATATCAGATAGATGATATTTGCCCGTCCAAAGTGGATGTGCTGCTTCATTGCTTCTGTAGGCGACTGGATCCATATAAATTAAGCCTCAATTTATTCAATTTTTTTCTTCATTTAAGTAAGTTTGATCAACCTGCCACCCGTTATCTTCTCATATTTGGACAGTTTTCACATTGACCCATCCAGTGGCGGATCCAGAAATTTTCATAAGAGGGGGCCCACTGACTGCCTAAGAGGGGGCCTGCTCCAGTCATGCTTCAGTGATTCCCTATATAATCAACCAAATTTTTCCCACAAAAGTGGGGGCCTGGCCCCCTGGCCCCCCCCCTAAATCCGCCTCTGCCATCAATACGGACATTTTAGAGGGTATGAATGCCCTTTACCGTCAGGCGTCTAACGGTCATTTTTGGCTACCGTTAGCGTCAAATATGTTAACATTTTACCGTGATTCGTCAACATATCCTTATCTTAATTCGTCAGAGGTCTCAAATAATTATCGTTACCGTTATTTTTGGCAAAAAATTAACGTGATTCGTCAAAATCTGTCGTGTTTTTTTATCGTCTTGAAGAAAGTCTTCATTTTATCGTCATGCACCAAAAATTACCGTTTTTATCGTCTTGAAGAAAGTCTTCATTTTATCGTCATGCACCAAAAATTACCGTTAACATCATTTGGCAAGATTTTTTACCGTTATTTGTCATGAAGGTACTCCCATTACCACCCTCATTTTAACTTTCACTTTATAAGAATGTCACATGACCAACATTATGGGAACTGATTTATGCAAATGACCCTTATTCAATAGGAAAACATAATCTTTATAAATCAAGCCTCAATTAGTTATTTTTCTCTTCATCTTTAATCGACCTGCCACCTGCTATTTTCTCATATTTGGACAGTTTTCACATTGACACATCAATACTGGCATTTTTACTTTAACTTTAAAAGATTGTGACATGACCAACAGAAAAAGTAATTTACAATGCATTATGAGAGCTGATTTATGAAAATGACCCTTATTCAATAGCAAAAAAAAACATAATCTAACACCTCGTTCATTTATGATGCAAATAAGCTGAATGGCTGAGTGTGTTCAATTTGAAAATAAAGAGTTAAAATGCCGGAATCGCAAAAACAGATGTTGGACATCAGAGTAATCTCGGACTATGAGTATGAGTTTTAGGCAATTTGTAGGGGAGAGGGTTCAAGGGAAGCAAATGCTCTTTAAATTATGCATGTTTCAAAAATTGGGGAAAAATTACACAGAGAGTTGTCATTTTTTTCAGACTTAATTTAAATAACGACTTATGTAGACTTACCTTCTAATTCTATAAAAAAATTCACAACTACTGAACAGGAACAATCATGGTACATTTTTGTCTATGAAACTACACTATGACATCTGATCTGCAAACCCTACAAACAGACACAGAAATATCATCAAATAGTGAAATATAAGATTGATTGCACCTTGTATGGATAGTTCCGACACGTGTTACATGGGGAGCCCGTTTGTTTACAAATAATAATGTCACGTGATCACGCACTGACCGTCACAATTTTTATCCTCCACCATTATTATTACACAATATTACTGTACTTGCACAATTCACAAATGCATAACCCATTTATCTTGCGGACATGTAATGGGAATGTACACGGTAATCAAAAACTTCAAAACTTTGCATGTACAGTTAATGAAGAAGTTATTTTATCAAATAGATAAGATTTTCACTCATGACACAAATTGACTGGGTGTCATCACCATCGGGGATAATTGATAAATGGGATTAAATTGACCGCCAAGAAGGTGTAGAGAACCACCTCTGGAGAACCTTAACATTAATTAGTAATACTCACCAAAATTTCTCTATAATTAACGCTATTTTCTGTTGGAAAATTTGAGAAAGATGCTGATAAACTTATTTGGTGACAGATTATTTTCTTGTTATGGCGCGAAATATATTCTTACTCTTAATGCTTGACGTAACAAAATTTGTATAGAATTATATTTTACTAAAGCTCAGCGTAAATATGCAGAAGCATGACAATACATTAATGATAAAATGTGTAAATATTTCTGTAAAAGAATATAATTTTACTTTACCAGTATACTTCACTTAGAATTACATTTGAGCGCAAGAAAATCTCTATGTGAATCGGCTAAATCCCGGGGTCGAAGTTCAACATATCAACGGAAATTTTTGCGTGTGATTGCGTTGCTTTAGATCAAGGCCACAGCTTTTCAACCAATCGGGGAATGTTTACTTGGGACATACATCTATTTTTACTGCAGGTTTTGACATGTTTAAATCGGGATTATAGAAAAATGGAATGTTGTTGGTTGATACAAAACAGAAAATGATGAACACTTTTAGCAAAAGATAAATTGGATCGGGGGTCTGTGAATTCACATTATTTGTACAACTCTCCTTACTCTTGGGAAGCGTGTGCTTTACATCGAGGCTTGCGTTGCTTTACATTGACGCCATAGTAGTTCAACCAATCGGGGAATGTTTATTTGGGGCATACATCTATTTTTACTGCAGGTTTTGGCATATTTTAATCGAAATTAGAGAAAAATGGAATGATGTTAGGAGATATAAAACAGAAAATGATAAATATTTTTAGCAAAAGATGAATTGGATCGGGGTTTTGTGTATTCACATTATTTGTACAACTCTCCTTACTGATGGCAAAAAATGGAATTTCCGTGACCTAAATGGTTCGCGAAAATTAATATTTTTATATATATATAGTAATTAGTACCTTTATTTGAACACTTGTCAATTTACCCATCTTTGTGGATATCTTAAATTCTTAATCAGTGTTTTTAATAATCCTTTCAGACTTTTAATGTTGATGGCAGATTTTTTGGTAACATCTGTTAAAATTTATTTGCGATTTATCTATATTCCATTCTGTAGTTAAGAGCTTCTCAAATTATGTATTAGACACTTGTCTATTAGTGTTGAAGATCATATGTTGAGGTCTTTTGTCTTTACTGGTTTTATTGTTGTGTTTGGTTGGCTGTCTCATTGATGGATACCCTTATAACCATAATATCATACTTTATATGATATAATTAAAAAGGTAATCTGATTGAAATATAGTACAAATGTGTCCATTGACCAGGTGAGTGTAAATGGACAGGTAACTCAAGTGGTAACATGTTACAAACTATTGATATTATAATTACTGGTCATTGTTGTATAAATACTATAATATGTTATTTCATTTCCTATTTGATAACAATGTCATTATATCTCAGTTAAAATTGCAAGTTTTTGAATTGATTTGTGAAAACCTATTGATAGTACTAGATTTTCAACTTCATATTGGTCTTTTGTATTGGTTAGCAATAAAAAAAACAAAGCAATTGACCAAGTTTTCAAATGGTTTGTTTAAAATGGCATACCATTAATGTTTAAATTCCATTCATTTTTCTGTATTGGATTTTAACTTATTTATGTAAGTAATATTATATATATGCTTTCAAATTTTTTGTACTTGACAATTTTTTTACTCATGGTTGGACTAACATGTTCATCTTAGCAAAAATAGAAAAAAAACAAACATCAGCATTTACTGTCAAGGAACTTTAGTTGGAAAATACTATTGTAAAACCTCGAAAAATAATAACTGAACTGAAAGCTATTTGAAGTTCTTTATATTAATGGTTTGTTTGACTTATTTAGCAAGTTTTTAAAGGTTACAAACTATCATGAATTTACTTTAATATTTGTTTGAAATCCTATCGAATGGAGTATAATTAGGTTTGGAAATTGAATGCAAATACAAAAGATGGCAGGCAGTATGCATGAGAAAGTCGGAAGAAGAAGCACTACAAAATTGACAAGCCATATAAAGTCTTTTATATTACTGAAATGTAAAGGTTGAAGAATTTAGTATAATTGAAGGAGAATCTCTATAATTCAACTTTTCATTACATGTTTTTCATTTTAAATCTTATATTTTGTACATGTTAATACTCACTGAACATCATTAGAAAAGCAATGTACCATATTTTGTAAACTGTCCATCAATTTAAAAATCATGGTGTTAAAAGATTTGTTGAACTTTTCAGCAAGTCTAGGAAAAAACATTTAATATCAATTTGTGTGCTTTCAAAATCAGAAATCACATTTACAGCATGAGATCAAAATTAAAACTCATGTTGCATCAAAATTTGCTTAACATTCATGTACAAGTTGATTTTTGTCCTTAAAAGGAAAAACATGCATTTTGGGGCTCAAAATTTAGGAATTGAAAAGTTGAAGTCCAAAAGATATAAAAATTAAAATGAATATAGAATAACTTTTCATTATCTCAAAAATATAACATTTATTTGTACAAGGTTTAGAAACAAGTAAAATATGAGGCTATGCATTTCTATATTGTTTTGTCTGAGCCGAGTACAAATAAAATATATGTTTTGAGAAAAAGTGATTGTTCTCTTTATACTACAACTCTTTAAACTTTTCAAAATAAAATATTTTAGGTAAAGTCATCAAATTTAAATTTTCAACATCAAAAACAATTAGGTTTTTATACAGTCAGTGACAGATAATGAAGCAAAAATATATACAGTATGCATTTTGACTGAAAATAGTTGCAGTATAAAGTTAAATTTATGCACTACTTCACGCAGTCCTAATAACAGCTAGTTTCATTTGAACATAAGAAATCTACTAGATGTACTACTTTTTTTTTTTGCCTCCACCATAGCAGAGGGGGCATTAAGTGTTACCCTTGTTCGTCCTGTCCGTCTGTACGTCCCAAAATTGGTTTCCGTTCTCTAACTTTAGTTTGCCTCAACCAAATGTTATGAAACTTATTCACAATGCTTATAATCACAAAACAGTCTTAACTACATGAATCCTGTATCTGTATGTGGAAGTTGACTCATGCATTTTTACAAGCGGGGGCATCTGTGGCCCATAGACACATTCTCCATTTATTTATTTTTTTATCTGCCTCCTTTTAAAAAAAATATATCAGAAAATGTTGTTTTGTTCGAGTCTGCTTTTCAAACAAATTATTTTTTAATTCTGGAATCTTATTTAATTTGCTTGTTGTTTTTGAGACAAAATAGTTTATTTTTTGTAATTTGTTGAATAGATTAGCTTCAACTTACTTATCAAGTAAGCCCCACTCCTGATAAAAAAAGAAATATTGATACGGAAATAACAAGCCCAAACAAAATCTTACTGTATATTTTGTCAAGTGGTTAAAATACCACTTGTTAACTTTTTATAAAGGTACTTCTTTTGTACAAAATACCACTTTTGACAACTAAACCTCTATTGTAGAAAATACTTTTTGAAATTGTTATTTATAACACTGTAAAGAAAGTGATAAGAATGACCTCTGTTATTTGATAGAAGAATGGTAAATGAATGGAGTTGGGATTTTTTCCCCAGCTATATGTCATATCTGACCATTTTTAGAAATCTTGTTGATTAGAATTAGCACAAACTTTTTCTACAGAAAGGAAAGATGGTTAATTTTAGAATCTTTTTAATAACAAGAGAGAGTCTGAAGGAATTATTATAAACAAAAATAATTAAAAAAAACTTATTTCATAATGACATGGATGTGAACTTTTATGCCGAAGACAAAAGAAAGGATGTATAGGAGACAATATTGACCTCATGATTTTTATTATTTTTACAGGTAGATCTTGGTGGACAGTGATGAGCAAGAAAGATACACACAAGGTATTTTTTTTTATATAGTTAAGATAGATTTTCTGCAGACTGTTACTCGCTATTTTGTGAGCTAGCATGTTAAAAAATCAGGCTCAGCATTTTAGTAGACAAAAACAGGGTTCAACGTCATATCACATTAACATGTTCTCTCCCTGATATACATGTAATATTTGCCACTGGACTTTAAAAACCACTCATTATAGCAGGGATGCCTCAATAAGATAAACCAAACTAATTGGGAGCAATTTATTCAGTCTGTAATGAGATCTACCAAGTTGATCAGAATCAAATTAGATTGAGTCAAATGAGATTGAGAGAAAAAAATATTGATCTATTGCAATCATTTTTAAATGTGATTAATGGCTGGTGTTTTAGAAGACTTGTTTGAATCCCTTGGTTTACCTACTTTGCAAACTTACTTATTGCATTCATCTTTAATTTGTTCTTACCCTGATTTTGCATGAAATATTTAACCCTGGATATTGAGCAGACAACAATCAATCAATTCAAATTTTTAATGTGTTCTACTTTTCATAAAAGGAAGCAGTCTGCTTATGATAGAATATTGCAATAATTGGCACATTGTAGGTAAATAAACTATCCACATTCTATTAGATTAACAATCGATTGTTTTTTATAAGAACTAGTCATTCTGTTAGTCATATGATATTTCTTTTAAATAGTGTTCATTGTTGATGATGCTGTTAGATATCAAGCTTTTTGTTTGTGTGTCATGAAATGTAAGTGAGAATTATTCATTGTTTGAAAAACGTGACAGATACTTATCTGCAATTTCAAACGATGAATTTTATTCCTTGTTGAGTTGTCAATATTAACATGTAGATGGGGAAAACTGAGAGTCTAATGGTGAGCAGAAGTCTCAAAGGAGATAACAATATTATTGACATTTAAAGAGAAGTCTGCAGAGATGATATTATTATTTTAAAAGTCGCACAAACTGATGAGGAGCTGGAAACATATTGATAATTTCTTAAAATTTATAATTTAATACTGTCTGAAAAGCTGAGGACATACATTTTTTCCATCTTTATGGCACTCACTAGTATAAAAGTATGTCACTTGTAAAATTGGCGTGGTAGATAGATCTTTTTACATAATTTGTGATATCAGACATTGAGAAAAATAAAAAGAGAGACAAAAGATACCAAAGGGACATTCAAACTCATAAGACGAAAACAAACTGACAATGCCATGGCAAAAAACGAAATAAAAGTCATGTTATATAAATGTTACTGTGGGGGCAGTTGTTTATGTTGCTCAGAGGACCAGCTTTCATTGTTTTGATATTAAACCATTTGTATTATATTTCACTTCCTATTTCATCATGGGTCCTTAATCTTCCAATAATCTGCTGATATTATAACAATATATTTGTGGCCGACTTTTCTATCGTTGAACATAGTTGTGTTAATGAAATCTAGAAAATTTGACATTAAAAGTTAACAGCTTTTAGAATATCAATTTTATATAGTCGTTTTGTGAATAGAGCATGAACGGTTTTAATATCAAGTGTTGGTTAAAATGATCATTTTAGAATGTCATTTGTATAAGAGAGGCGAAAGATACTAAAAGGACTTTCAAACTTATAAGTCGAAAACAAACTGACAATGTCATGGCATTAAATGAAAAAAATAGTGAATAAAGATTTGTTTTATGATTTTTAGTATGCACCAGAGGAGGCGCACTTTCTCTAAAAGCAAAGCAGCTATTATGTATTATTTGTGCAAAGGACTGCCTACCTCATCAGGAGAAAAGTTCTTTGTTATTATTTGAATTTCACTTTTATTGTTCAATTAAATATATACAAAGATATTAAAGGACTGTTATTATTAAATAAAACTGATGGAACCTCACCTGTGAGAGATTCTTCAATCGGCATTGAAGTGTGTCTTATGATAGTGAGTCAATTTCATGTGCAGATAAGATCTTGCCTGGCGAGTCAAATTAAAGTCATTAAGCACTTAAAAGTTTGTAGAAAGAGCAAAGTCTGGTAAGCTCAGAGTCAGAATTATCAGTGGGAAATCTAGTGCCAAAAATTACCTCTCCTGTAAACACTGAAAACTAGATCTTTTCAATGTTTGTCCCACTTTAGCAAGGACGCTATCAATTATAAATTCACAGGAAAACATTCTGGTAAATAATAAAAATAGAAATAAGTTGAAATAATAACAAAACTTCCATTTAATGTTATCATTTCCCTCCTTAGATAGAAAACGACGAGTACAGCAGACTAAAGGAGCTTGGTGTAAAATTGGTTTAAAATGTTGCTATGCAAATGAATTCCTGGAGTACCAACTTCAATTTATTTTTTTACCTGCTGTATACCTCTCTGGAACATGCTAATTATCCATATATATATGCAGCTAGATCAGGGAAAAAATTCCAAGGGAATCGATTGATATGCAGCAAAGATTGGCACTTTTGAAATTAAGTTACTAAACAAATTCAAACCGACCTTCTCCCAATGTAAACATTGAATGTGAATAGATAGAGAAGACCGCAAATACATGTACAAAAATCGAGATGACCTTTTCTTAAAATTGTAAAAAAATAGTAGAAAGATGCCTACTTTGTAAGAATATTTATCTTTAATTTTTTAGCCTGCATAGACAGACTTTTATATTGTTATATTCATGAAAAGACAATATTTTTATATTGAATTTCTATGTGACAAGAGCAGACCGGTGTACTCGAAAAACTTAGAATGTGAAAATAAGGAAAATTTGGGAAATTGTAACATGTTAAGGACTTTGTGGAACACTCCAAAAATTGGTGACCCGAAAGATCTTTAGATTTTGTATGTACATGATTTTTTTCCATTTTTTTTTTATCAATATGCAGCATTAAAGATTGGCATTTTTTAGATTTCAGTTTCACAAGCTTCTAATGCAATTATCTCGATAAATACTGAACATAAAACATAGTGTATTTGCATGTTTATTTCTAATTACTCAGTTTAACAAATAATTTCCTTAAAATGTTCAATTGTTATTTAGAAATAACTTTTGATCAGTGTTGTCACCGGCATTGTTTTATTATTGATTTTCTCGACTCTATCATAAGAAGAGGTAATTTTCTTTTGTTCTTTTTTACTAGATTTCCAACTGTTATGTGTCACTGTGAGATGATGTGTCTGCTGATTTAGTTTTTTGGTTGATGATTAAGATAGCAATGTGGGTCAAGTTCAAAGTAGTGTTCCCAATAATATGCAGTAGTCCTAAATATGACTGACAGGCTGCTGACAGAAAGCAATCAATGTATCAATCAAACAGCATTGACACTTTTGGGATGGGGTGAAAAAATAGTTGGTCTTTCTTTCTTTCAACAGTTGTATTGAATGAGATCATTGTAAAAAAATCGAGACCTTCAGAAAAAGATTGTATTTATCTTATTTTAGGAATCCCATAGATTAGATATACACTATTCTCTTTCATTTAAAAGTCAGCTAAATTGAGCTAACTATATCAGTCTGTTTATTCGGTCTTTGTCATGTTTTTTTTGTAGACAGATTGACTTTTCAAAAACTGACATTATTTGGCCCAAGGTTTTTATTTGACAACACTAAATGCTTTTGGAGTGTTATATGTACATAATAATTGTGCAGTCCAGCTTTATCAGATTTTTTTTAGCATTAAGAAGTCTTGTATTGGAATTTTAATTGAAGTTTTTTTTATATTAAAGTTAATTTTAGAAACTTTTGTCATGTTTGATTGATTGTAGTTTTTCAAGTTGTAATAGGATCGGTTAGTTTACAAGTAAAATTTTATAATTGAGTTCTGCTGATCTAATTTGTACTATAATGAAACTAAAAACATGTTAGGTCAAGGGAAAAAAAACATAAGAACCAGCTTAAGTGACATAAGAGGCACAAGACTAGAAAACCTAAAATCAAGAAGGATACCGGTAGATAATATTAGATCCATAAGTATCTATATGAATTTAAAAGTTAAGATCATAGATGTATAAACCCATTATACATCTATGTTCAGATTAACAAAGTTAAAGCAAACTTAAAATCCTTAACAAGTCAATTTGGAACTTTAAACCAAGAAAAAAAGAAAACTTAAGACCATTGATAATATTAAATTTAAGGACTAGAAGAGAAAATAAATCAGCCACAAGAATTGAAGACTAACACTTACCATGACTGACCTTTCTTTTGACAAATTTTAAAAGTACAATTTTCAGCCTTAGGCCTCTCATGGTATTTTTGAGTTTCAGAGAGTGATTATTTACTATAATTTTACTGAATATTTTTCCTAAATGCTTACACTTTTGGCCATCTGGTTTGACTCCTTTTGATTTTTGTTTGATTGTTACATTACACTCCCATTTGTGATAAAAATAAATACTAACATTGTTATTAACTTACCCTGTAGTACTTACCTAAAATTAATTCTAAATGGCCAATTTTAGATAGCAACTGAAAATTGAATAGTCTTGTAGTAACAAGCTGTAATTATTTCCCTGTGGCACCTAATTCCCTTTTTGTTTTTGGTATCTTTGTGCTTGTTGAATGTTTTTTTTATCTTTATTTTTTCATTTTTTTCTATGTATGGGGGGGTTGATAGGGATATGGATATTATTAACTTATTTCATTACAGTTGACCATTACAAGTACTCGTTTTAAAACTTTAGATAGTTTTCAATTTATTGATCTTTGTTTATATTCCAGGAAACTTCACCAACTCGCAGGAACTCAAGATATGAAAAGTTTCACAAGTTGTTCAAGTCTGTCCCACCAGAGGAATCCCCCATTGATTGTAAGTAGATTGGTGTGTTATTTTTGAATCTTGATTAATGTACTTCGTAGGAAAAAATAAATGTGAAAAAAAGGACTTGTGGAATAAATGTCACAGAAATATCATAACCCAAGAATAATTTTAGACTTGTACCCATTTTAGAAAGAAAGAAGGGTAGTCAAACTGTTTGTCTCATGTGTCATTGTGGTAACTTACAACTTTATGAAATCATTTTTATGCCCCACCTAGGGTCATTATGTTTTTTGGTTTGTGCGTCCGTTCGTCTGTCCGTCCATCTGTCTGTCCCGCTTCAGGTTAAAGTTTTTGGTCAAGGTAGTTTTTGATGAAGTTGAAGTCGAATCAAATTGAAACTTAGTATACATGTTCACTATGATATGACCTTTTTAATTTTAAAGCCAAATTAGAGTTTTAACCCAAATTTCACGGTCCACTGAACATAGAAAATGATAGTGCAAGTGGGGCATCCGTGTACTATGGACACATTTTTGTTTTTTATTGCTATCCTTTTAATTTTATGCAAAAATTCTGCATTTCCCACTCATTTCTGCTAAAAGTTGAGCTGACTTGGCCTGAAAAGCCAGTTTGAGCCATTTCCAAGACTGGAAGTTAGATTTCTGTTTATCTGTTCAAGTTTTTGTAATTCTCTGAAATCATTACTCCAATTTGAACCACACTGGGTCTAGATATTTTTGAATTCATGGACATAAAAATTATTCATTCAAGTGACAGTGTAAGAAAATAGCAAAGGTTAATTTGCATTTAATGCTCATCTTTCTTTAATAATAAACATCCTTGCATGCAACCAGCTGCAAGTTCCTGACATGATCTGTGACAATTATTGAAAATTACCCCAATTAAAATGTTTTAAGAGCCATTAAGCCCTATCAGTTAATCAAGTCAATTTCTACATGTTGTTTTTAGGTTTAATTGATTCATGGCCTTGTAATGTGTAAATTCATTGTTAAGATATATTTCATTGATTTTTCAACTTAGTAAATAAGTGATTGAATTTGGTGGCATTATTTCTTGTGATATCATTGTACTTTTCTATAATTAAAGACCATAAAAGATTTTTCTTGAATTGTTTGAAATGAAATGGCCATTAAATCATCTCACACTTTTTATTTTATAGATTAATGGGTTTTTAAAAATGATTTAAATGGCAAAATGAATTAGGTTCTGAAATTTGACACAATCAAAAACCAAGTTCAAAAGATATAAAGAGACATGAAATGTCAATATTGTAAGAAAGCATCTATATAGTTTATAGAGGGTTTGGTTTAGTTTAAAATATAATTACAAGTTCAAATTGTTGTTGATCAATCATAGACATAAAAATGTTCAATATTTATTGAAATTTTCAATTGATTTGTATTTCTAGTGAAAATATATACATACCAAACAGTCAGAGGGGATATATTGATTTGAACTCTTTTAAAAATATCCAAATATATGCCAAAGTTCTTAATTTTCAACAAAAATAGTTCAGACTTTGGAACTATCAAATGCTGACATATGGTGCCTTAAAAAATTTCAATGAACTCATGGAATAATTATTGATATATTTTTGATAGGCATTTATTTCAGTGGAGATACAAGCATATCTAACTGTAGTATGAATATGCAATGTTTTACTAGAATTATATATTTAAAAGGCTTTCAACTGTCTTTAGGAAGACATGGCAATATACCGTTCCACATTCTTATCAAACATTAAAGAAAATACATGTAGATCCAAGTGACATGTAAAGTAAACAAAAACATTTTAAAGAGTTTTAACCTTAACATCAAAGCCTTTAATACAATTGTCTAAGAAGATATAAAATTGTTCATTGTTAACAATTACTAACATTTATATTTTGGCAGATTTTTCCTGTGCCTTTATTGGAGACATACTACTCCAGGGACATCTATATATCTCCCAGAATTTCTTCTGCTTTCACTCCAAGATCAGGGGGCGGGGAAGATTGGTAAGTTACAACACAATCATATTGTTTATACATTTGTAAATCTTCTGCATTTTGATATAACTGTAAACACCAAGGTCACAAAGACATGGACGCCAAGGTCACAAAAGCACTGCTTGAAATGAAGTTGTAAACTATGTTTATTCTATATATAAGGACTCAATTGAAGACCACATTATAGCAAACCAGTTTTGTCTAGTACCATTTTGAGCTTTGTGAGGTTTCCCTTTAATGACACTGTGTATTAAAAGTACACAGATAATCTTAACTTGTGTCAGAGCTGTCTGAAAATGTGGATACTAACATTAAATTTTGCAAAGGTGCAGTAGGCAAAAAAAATAAAAATAGGAAATCAAAACTTTGGAGAGATTCAATAGTTTATTTGTAGATATTTTGTGGTCTTGTTTATTTTGATTTCATGATACATGTATATGATTTTATTTCAGTTAAATCATGAAAACATTATATGATCTTGACATTGTTTATCACCAATATTTATACTACAGATTATGAAATGAGGAGATTTTATAACAATGCAAATTTAATTACTTAAAAGATATTATAATTAAGCATCTATTATTATATACAAGCGGTTTAAATGTTACCCTCTGTATTTATTTACAATAATCTTTATAAACATTACATAATACAGTTTAACTAAATGAAGTTTTTAATTTATTTATTGCAAATCTTGGCCTGGAATGCTGTGTTAAGCTAAGATAACATTTTGTAGAAAGAAAAAAAACAGTCAAATCTGTATATAATGATAATTTACCATTGCAAAACTGAAATTGGTCAGACAACTCACCAGATGTGACCTATTATTTGAAAGTCTTCAAAAATTAACTTTGAAGAAGTCCTCAAAATGTGATTTATCAGCTGTGTTGACCTCTTGGAGATAGAATGAGGTTTGAAAAATTAAGAAATAATATTAAAAACTGCATCAAATGTAAAGGAAAAGTTTTTTAGTGCTATTCTTAGTAATGAGAATTAGTAAAATGTCTTCAAGGGTAAACAAAAGATTTCAATCCTATTGCCAGACCAAAATGGTCCTATAACATGTTTAACCAAGCCATGTTCTTTATTTGCCTGTCCCTAGTCAGGAGCCTGTCATTCAAGGTTGTCATTGGTTGCTGTCTGTCATATTTGCTTTTCGTAAATAGTTTTGACATTAAAGGGCCTGTTTGTATTTCTTGTTTAAATTGTTTCACATTTAGTCATGTTGGTGACTTTCATAACTGACTATATGGTATGAGTTTTTGCTCATTTTTGAAGGTGGTACTGTGACCTATAGTTGCTGAATAAATCTAATTCATCTTGTTTACCTTTTGCATTAATGTCCATGTAGTTAGTTCTGAATTATTCTTAGCCAAAGCGAAGTGATGCTTCAATATCTAATATTTGTCTCGCTTTCGTCGTTGAAAGCAAGACATAGGGATTGCTTTTCCAGCGACTGCTGCGATGACGGCGTCAACAATTGTTAAGTTTTCTGCTTAAGTTAGTTTGATAGAAATTACTTGTGACAGATCATTGATACTTTGTATGAAGATGCATTACTATCAGTACATATCAGTTTGATGACTATTTTAAGGCCCTGCCCTCTAGGTCATGGTCCAGTTACTTTCAATCAATTAACAATTTTCAATGTTAAGTTTTATGATTAAGTTAGTTTGATAGGAACTACTAACAATAGACAATATTTTCTATAAAGTTACATTGCTGTTTGTACATCTCAGTTTGTCAACCTATTTCGAGGCCCTACCCACTTGTTGGTTCCGGTGACTTTGAATTGATTAGCAATGTTGTTGTCCATCAGATTGTCTTTTTTTAATTTTATGCTGATAGGCGAGACATACCGTATAGAGGGTTATTTTCGCGGGTGTAAAATTTCGCGATTTAGGGGCAACAAAGTATACGAAAAATTTTAGCGGTTTTTATTTTGGTGGATTCTTAAATCCCAATTAAATATTTTGGTGGGTACTGAAATTGTTGCAGTTAAAAAGTTGTAAAACTTGACAAACAAGTGTCTATTGTTATGGTTAATTAATTATTATGGCATTTATCTGGTTAAAACTAACATATACCGTTATTGACCAGCCAACAGGGAAAGAAAGATAGATCGTTTACAAAATCCTTTAACCATGTTAACTTCGAAACTACCAAACGTATGGATAAATTTTCGCGGAATTTATTTTCGTGATTTTCGTTTATCCGCCAAAATAAGCGAAAATAAACAACCCGCGAAAATAACCCGCTATACGGTATATCTGTGTCAACAGTTTATTGATAATAAGGAATATTTATTCAAAACTTGGGTCACAGTGGCCTGCATTTTAAGCATGATGGAGTAATTTATTAAGTTATCTTGAGAACTGTAAAATATATGTAAGTCAAAGTCATAGGGGAATTATATACCAAAAATTAGGTCATTTTGAAAATTATCTCATGTATAAGTGACTGCTTTGATTTTAAAATACCTCTACAACTAAAAGCTTCAGCAGCTCTTTTCACAAAAAATCTTATGAGTAAAAATACTCGTAAGTTAAACACATTTCAGTATAACTTACGATCAATTTTAATCGTACAATATATTTTGTGAAATGAGTCGCAGAATCTTTAAACATCACCTAAGACAAAGGAAAATAATGTTTCAGTTACATTACTTCAATGAATGAATTTTCTACGCATTTGGTTCAGTAAAAGTCTGCTATTTTGAATTAGTTGAATAAGGACAGTGTATTTCATAATTGGTGCAAATATTTTCATATTTTAAATGTCACTTTAAAAAATTCATATCATGTAGTGCAGTTAGTTTTTAACCTCAAGTTTTATTGATAGTTCAGTGGTTGTATTTATGATCAGTCATCTAGATCCATTCAATATCATTTACATTGCATAAAATGTAAATGAATAGTAAAAAAATATATTATATAACTGTTGTAAAATGTAAATGAATACATGTAGTAAAAAAAAATATATAATATAACTGTTGGGGATAAAATGTTATCATAAATAACCATTACTTCTGGATTTGATTGTTTGCTTGCATTTATTAATGTGAGTGCATAATGGGTGACAAAACAGAATTTCTTGAGCACCTGATATAATGAAAAATAGCTGCTTGTTAAAGAATGAGTAGGTTAAGCTGTCAGTTACCTTCAACATGTTCAATAACAGCAGTATCTGTAGGAACTTTATTCTGTGTTCCATTTCTTGGCATTGATGACTGCAGTGTCTGTGGGCACTTTATTCTGTATTCCATTTCTTGGCATTGATGACTGCAGTGTCTGTGGGCACTTTATTCTGTGTTCCATTTCTTGGCATTGATGACTGCAGTGTCTATGGGCACTTTATTCTGTATTCCATTTCTTGGCATTGATGACTGCAGTGTCTGTGGGCACTTTATTCAGTAGTGCATTTCTTGGCATTGATGACTGCAGTGTCTGTGGGCACTTTATTCTGTATCCAATTTCTTGGCATTGATGACTGCAGTGTCTGAAGTCACTTTATTCTTGATCCTTGGCAAAGAAGAACAAGGCTTGATTGAGGATTGATTAGTATTTTAATATCCAGTTTCTCTCATATCAGTCTGGGTGTTTATATTGTTATCTAAAATTTTGAAGTACTGTGGTGTTTGCATGAAAATAAGGAAAGAGATTTGTTAATATTAGATAAGAACCATATCCCTCATCTAATCCTTACCTGGGTTTGGCTTTACTTTTGTTCGTTTCAGTTGTTTCAGCTCTTGAATGTTTCTTTTTATGTATAAGATTCCCATATATTTTGGTCTGTGGCATCATTGACAAGATTTTATTTGTTAATTTTCATCTGGTCTTTAAATTTTTTTCGAATATTTGTTAATATGTGCTTAGGTCATGTAGGTTGATTTGGTTTATTCTTTGGCAGTATACTTCAAGATACCATAAGTTTGAGTTTTATCAATAGAAATTAAAAGAAATAAAATTGTAGGATTTTTGGTTAACCAAGAAATATTGAAATTTATAAAATATAAGTTTTTGACAAGGTTGAATAAGTTTTGAGTCAAAATTCAGGTAATTTTCTGAATTTTTACAAATCCAGTTTGATTCTTTTGGATTCCTTACAAGTATCAATCTTACATAAACATGAACATAATAGAAAATTAGAATGAAAATATTTATTTCCGGACTGATGAATAGCAAGTTAGTTATATAAATGTTCCAATTCAACGATGACTTTTTTTTTCATAAATCAATAAATAATTTAACAAAACAAATATGTATTTATTTGCCACTCTATAATAACAGCAGATTCAGTTGATGTTTTTACCTTAATTGCTACAAACAAATCAATTTTTTTGTACATAGTGCAAATGAACCTATACATTTATAACAACAGGAACCTGAGTTTCAACATCATTAACCAAGAAAAGTAAAAGTACATGTTCAGTATCATTAATTATAAGGTATATCAGATTCTGCTTTGTTTACCAAACAAATACTATGAAAATAAATATCATTTTACTATCGGAAACAGCTGATTTTCCTATGGTTGAGTAAATTTACATCCAGGGTAGAAAATGTCTTTAAATATAGTTTATCTTTTGTTCAGTACTTGGTAGCATGCATATTTGAATGACTATGTAAATTTTATATGATATCATTTTCAGTTCTTTAAGGTGGCTCGGCCCTTTAACAGTGCGCATATTTTAACGCATGTTACTAACGATGAGCGCCTTGGAAACGGTCGCTTTGAGGGGTTTTCTCAAAAATAGTTTTGACGACATTGGAACGCGGGCGTGTATGAAAGCACCCTTTCCCGATGTCAACAAACCATGCAAAACGTTCTACAAAAGCCACAAAACAGGAAATACGTACGGTCAGGACTACAGAGTGGTTTGTTCATTTTTCACATAAAAAGGAAAGAATTATACATGATATATTAAAGCATAACATTAAAAAAAAGAAAATATAAATATTGACTTGTACGACGGTATCTGGTGCTTTCGCTCCAAAAACACATTCTCACCCTACACGTTCGCCCCTTGGATGCGTTCGCACCCTATTTTCATTTAAATACTGGTTGAATATATCAAAAAATGTCTTTTAGATGTATTAGTATATATATGAAAATATTTTGCCAATGACGCAATGTTTAACCGTAAACAAAGGATAGCGATGTAAACAACTGCATGTCACCTTTCGGCTTTCAAAAACAAGTAAAACCCATATAGTATGCTATAGTATAAAGGCATCGGGGTTCATCTGCACGCTATAAATAATAAATAAATAAAAAATAATAAATAAGCTTTATTTAGAGTCGGCAAAGTATACAAACAGAGTCAACATAAGCTCTAATGAGCAGGGGGGTAGGGGAATTTAAACGTTTAGGAATTTGGGGCCAAAAAGGGGCCAAAAAACTTGCATTTTTCTAGTTTCCAGACAATAACTTGTGTTCAAGTGTATAGATCTCTCTGAAATTGTACTGCAAGGTACCATACCACAAAGGGAAGGCTGGGATTGAGTTTGGAGGTGATGAATCATAAGGGGGTTAAAAAAATTTGGGGGGGGGGGATTTTTTTTTCCTTTTTTTCTTTAAAATTTTCCATTTTAAATTGGTTATTTCTGATTTCTGATTTATATATAAAAGCAAATAATAATGATATGGTTTGAATAGGTAAATTAAAATGAAGAATTTGTGGCAACAATAATGAGCAAACAAAATAAAATTACATGCACAGCAAGTGTAAATAGTGATTTTGTTTTTATATATATGTTGAATACAGACTTCTCGGGGCATGCTGTTTCGATGCCAGGGACAAGTTATTTCTATGCCTAAAAATTCCAAAATGCAGCTGAGCTACATTTGTACTCCTCGTCAACCAAATTATGCTGAGGTGTCTTGTAACCTGTTTGGAATATATGGGATATACAAATTTTGTGTTTAAAAATACTAAGCACAAAACAATAATGAATTTTTCAACTCAAATGTATGTGTTATTTGGTAAACAAGATAAGCCCTTCGTGTATGTTTAAACCTGATACTTGACATTATGAAATTTTTTATACAAAAGAGAGACAGAATGGGGGGGGGGGGGGGGTGTTTAATTGTAAACAATTTGTGATCAAGACGAATCCATCAATAAAATGTATTGCCTCGTACTGTAGTAGTTATAATTTACATATCAGGCCATTAATATTCTCAAGAAAACAAACAAAACAATCAGCTATAGAGGGGTATTTTTGTTTAGACTGGATTTAAAGCAAAATAGGGCAGAATGACATTTTCTACTTATTATGGCAGTAACCTGCTACATTTGATGCACCAATTGATGTACTTAATTTCATTTCACATGCCCAGTTTACTGCTAAACTGACTGAATATACAATCTATTGTACACCATAATTGAAAGCTGTGATGATCAGGTAAATTCCACTCAGTTATGCCTCACTGAACAGAATTTCTATTGTTAGATTTAACATAAAATTTAAAGGTCAACTGCATGTCCCTTTTGTTGTTGATCAGGTGTTCAGATAGGTATACAGTAGATTGCAAGTTCTGTCACTTCAGCAGAAAACTGGGCATCACAGGCCATTTTTTAGTAAAAGAAATACAGAATACAGTAAAGTGCAATAATTGATGCATATATAGTGCTATAGATTATAGCAAATATAACTAGAAAATGCCATTCTGCCCTATTTTGCTTTAAATCCAGTCTAAACATTTTATCCCTCTATAGAAGGATTATCCCTCTATACAGGTATAAACACCATATAGAGGGTTTGTTCCCAACCTGTTTTACTAGTCATTATAGACGCTAACGATAAATATTTAACTTCATTTGACCCTAACGTGGCTACGAAATTAGATTTTACGAATGACGATATAAAATCAAGACTCATTTGACGCTAACGGTAGCGCAGATCATGAGATGCTGAAAATGACCATCCCCTCCTCTTTGACTGTTTGACACGGATATTTTTTCAAAACAGGCTATACATGTTCACAACTTGCCAGTTAACAGGTTAAGGGTCAAGTAAACACATAAATAAGATACCAGCCATAATGATTATACATAGAACAGAAATTTAGCCCATGCAAGGTTTCAGTCGCAGTGATTTTCTACAGTAGCGAGTATTTTGAGATAACCCCCCACTTTGTATTTTTCGTGATACTGATAACATTTGGCTGTCTAATAAATTAAAATCTATGTTTTCTTATGTAATGACTCTACCTTCAACGTTGTCTATTCGCCACTATGTCTGTTATTCATGCACATGGCCGTATTTATCAGTGCAGTGTGCTGCTCAGCAATGGCGACCCTGAAATTTCTGTTGTCCGATTATGGCGCCAGATTAGAGGGAAGCAACACGCGCCAGACAAAATTACCTTATTTCACCAAAATAATAAAAATTTCGCTTTTTTATAACAAACAGTAAAATGTTCATCACATTTATATTCAGCTTTCGTCCATTGATATAATTACAAACATTATTTATTTAAAGACACCAATAAAAAAGTCACAATAAAGTAATTAATGGAGTGCATTGAAATCAGACCTCATGGGGTAGAGGGGTTAAACAAAAGCTCGTAACTTTTTTAAAAGCCTGGTGACCCCCATTTTATTTTACCTTAAAATGCTTGAAAAGTTCATAGCTTTGACATATCCGTTTTTAAAAAAAATCTACCGGGGAAATTTTATGAAAAATCGATTTAACCAATATTTTTAGCCTTAAACTGAAATTAAAAAATGCCAAATTTAGACATAAATCTGAAAATAAAAGGATTTTTAAGTCTAAAACAACCAAGGGGAACGTTTACATTTCAAATTTAATTGTTTTTTCACATTATAATCATACTGACATGGTTCTAAAAGTCTTTGAATTTGATGTAGTCGTTATTGTTGAAAGGGTGTAAAGGTTTGGAAATAGGGTCAAAATCGCACATTTCGCTTCCATTTGAGGAGAAAACGAGCCTGGTGACCCCCTTTTTTCTTTGCATTTTTGGATTCAGCATAAAAAAATCTTCAAAATATGTGAAAATAAAAAAATTCTACCGGGGGTCATTAATGGGGTGAGCCACCTTAAATATTTATTCTATCATCGTAAACACTTTCCTTAAACGAATTTTGTCGATTTAGCATTCATACAGTATTGAGAAATTAAATGTTTATATGTAATTGATATGTTCTGTAATTTTATATAGGACTCGATAATTATTCATGATAATATAGACATTATAATCCAATAAGGCCATAAACAATTATAAGAATTGCGTTTTTCTAAAAATGTAGGTACAAATAGTTGAAGGTTACCCGTTAGGTAGTTTCATCACTATGAAACTCACAAAATATTGTGGTTGTTACTTTAAAATCAAACAGTTAATGTACATTTATGAAGCAAATATCAACACTCTGGGACCCATAAAAAATTCTAAAAAAAAACACCCCAAGAAACACAAGATCAAACAATTTTCTTATGTTTATGTGTATTGTGTCTACCAAGTTTCATTCAAATATTAAATTTTAAATTTAAGTCTAAAAACTATTTCCTTTTCATCAGTACTTTTATTTTTCATTCTACAATGATTGACTGCTAGTTCTTAGTTGTTTTGATTATATGTCTATTTGTTAGGCAATTGATGAAAGCATTTGTGAATAGCCTTCGTCATTTGATATGCAATTCATAGACTGTTGCATATGTTCTTTCATAGACTGTTGCATATGTTCTTTCATAGACTGTTGCATATGTTCTTTCATAGACTGTTGCATATGTTCTTTCATAGACATACATAGTAGCTGTTATTTTGTATGGAAAAGAAGCCACTCGAGGGATGAATATTAAGGGGAAATCTTAAATCCACCCTATGGAATGTCTCGATATCACATTAATATATAGGATCTGAAGTGACTGGAAGATAAAAGACAACAACAAAGGCGCTGTAGCTTTGATATATGAGATACTTTCTTTCTTTCATTGAATGTGGATTATTTTCTCATGTACATTCCTTACATATTCATTCCTTTCTGCTAACCTTCAAGTCCCCTTTTGAATGTCATATTTGAATCTTCAGCAATGATAAAAGAAAGTGAACAAAAAGTTAAAAGTTTTTTTCTTTTCTCTTTCAGTTGGAAATTCCAATGAGCCGAGTGATCAGCATTACCAGGGAGAAGACAGCACTTATAATTCCAAATGCCATTGGTTTCCAGACAGCTGGTAAAAAGGTAAGACAGAGATCCAGTATGTGATATCCCCCATAAGGCTTAGGTATCTAAAAAATGTACATTTATATATATATACATGTACATATTTCTTCTTGGATAACCCAAAAATAATTCAAAGACAAGAAATTTAAAAAGAGACATTAAGCAAATGCTTGTTTTTACCATATTCAGGAAGAATGTGTCACAATTCAGCAATCAATCCATGTTTAAGAATTGCATATAGGTTGTAGAGTTCTGTTATCCATTAAGAGGTTTAAGTTATGAATGCAAGGTCATTGAGACAAGCAAAAACCCCCTAAAAAACTTGAAAAGATCAAAATACACTTATCACTGATGGACAAGTGTCATATTGTATCAAGCTCAAAATTAACATCTCTCAAGATAATTTGCTTATGAATTCAGCACGATTCTGTTATAACTAGGTATGTTGGGAACAAAACATTTGAAAGGGCAAATGCATATAGGACTTTGGGAGGAAGGACATAAAAAGGAAGGATGAAACCATCTCATTTTATAAGGTCAAAGAATAATTTATCAATTGAAAAAGGATGATGAAACCATCTCTTTTTATAAGGTCATAGAATAGTTTATCAATTGAAAAAGGATGATAGTGAATACAACAAAACACATCAACTTCTGAACTTTTAAATTGATTACTAAGTCTATATCCTGTAAACATATTGATGTTTAAGTTTTTTTTTTGTCAAATCAAGTGTTTAAAGTATTAATTTTTGTAGTTTTGTAGAGTTTTATATATTTTATTATGTTTCTAGCATTTTAAAAGTACTTATTTCCATGCTTCAGTGAAATCAACAACACTAGTTATTTCTTTTGAGGTTGAATTTTTATTTAAAACAGTTCTTCCACGTCTTTAGAATAGTTTATCAATTGAAAAAGGATGATAGTGAATACAACAAAACACATCAACTTCTGAACTTTTAAATTGATTACTAAGTCTATATCCTGTAAACATATTGATGTTTAAGTTTTTTTTTTGTTAAATCAAGTGTTTAAAGTATTAATTTTTGTAGTTTTGTAGAGTTTTATATATTTTATTATGTTTCTAGCATTTTAAAAGTACTTATTTCCATGCTTCAGTGAAATCAACAACACTAGTTATTTCTTTTGAGGTTGAATTTTTATTTAAAACAGTTCTTCCACGTCTTTAGAATAGTTTATCAATTGAAAAAGGATGATAGTGAATACAACAAAACACATCAACTTCTGAACTTTTAAATTGATTACTAAGTCTATATCCTGTAAACATATTGATGTTTAAGTTTTTTTTTTGTCAAATCAAGTGTTTAAAGTATTAATTTTTGTAGTTTTGTAGAGTTTTATATATTTTATTATGTTTCTAGCATTTTAAAAGTACTTATTTCCATGCTTCAGTGAAATCAACAACACTAGTTATTTCTTTTGAGGTTGAATTTTTATTTAAAACAGTTCTTCCACGTCTTTAGAATAGTTTATCAATTGAAAAAGGATGATAGTGAATACAACAAAACACATCAACTTCTGAACTTTTAAATTGATTACTAAGTCTATATCCTGTAAACATATTGATGTTTAAGTTTTTTTTTTGTCAAATCAAGTGTTTAAAGTATTAATTTTTGTAGTTTTGTAGAGTTTTATATATTTTATTATGTTTCTAGCATTTTAAAAGTACTTATTTCCATGCTTCAGTGAAATCAACAACACTAGTTATTTCTTTTGAGGTTGAATTTTTATTTAAAACAGTTCTTCCACGTCTTTAGATATAGTAAACTAGGTGTATGTATTTGTATTATTTCAGTACACATTTGGTTCATTCCTCACAAGAGACAGTACATACAAGTTTGTTATTGGTCATTGGAAAAAATGCCAAGAAATGGTTAGTATTGCTTATCTACATACGATCTTATATTGCCACATTTTGAAATACTGTGGATTCATTATTATTCGTTGGTTATAGACGAACCACAAATTTAAATGTTCAATGAAGTATAAAAAATGAAAACAACACATATAAATTTATTGCGTCCAAAGTGCTTTTCTGGATTTACCTTCCATCAGGGACGCTCAAAGCCAAATATTTGAAAGCCAAGGATGTATAAAACCGAAACAGTTGAAGAGCTACATAATAAAAAATGACCTAATATAAAAGCCAAATCCTTCTAAGGCCAACTTTGCTTGAGGGAGTTTTCTCATAAGATTGTATGCAAACTCTGGAAAAACCATAAAATCAAGTATCAACGAAAATATAATTTTTCTTCAATCCACGAAAATTTGCACCTTTGAAAAAAAAAATGAATTCATAGTATCAGTTAAATTTCTAATTGAATCAATTCAGGACTAACCAATTTGTCATATTAGACAGGTGTGATGTTCACACAGTTTAAATTTAGGCAGAATATTCACTATGTTTAAATAAAAAATTCAAGCTATGACCTCAGGATAGGATTTCAGTGACCTTATATGCCTTGCTATGTATCCAACATTCCATGAAAAGAAGTTTCTTGCGAAAAATATAAAGGCAAATTCCTTGTACCTACATTTTTGTTTTGTCATAAGTTAAATGTAGATCGATATTCAACACAAGAATTTTTTGCAGTCCTTTTCACAATTACATTGTTCTCAAGTTTTGTTCATTGCTATTTTAGCAAAACAAATAATGCGACAATACAATACAATATGATACAATACCATTACCAAATTGTTTATTATATTGGCATGGGTTTTACAATATGAAACAATAGCAAAAAGTTATTGAAATTACATATACCAACACCTGGCCTTTTGGGCTTATAAGTAAGTCTCTTTAAAAAAATTAACATATTGAAAATAATCATTTAACAAGTATATAAATATTGCATTTTGTATTGTTTTATTTCAAATGAGAAAAGTATGCCAAGAAAAACCCCATAAGTGCTGACAGGGTATTACATTACTGTCAAATTAGTCTACTGTAGAAAATCGTTCACTGGAGAAATATGTAGGAGTTTAATTGATTGATGTATTTGGAAATTTATACCATATACATGTAATAATAACAGTTGATAGAATTATTAAAGAGTATATACATGTCAGATTGATTTGGACTGAATTGAAATGATATTTGATTTAGAAAGGTCAAATTTTTATGTTCTGGGATTTTAAATTTGCATTCTGGTATTATTATATACTTTAGAAAAACTATTCATTCCATATCAAAACAGTTCTGTAAAAAATATTCTGGTATAATGTATCAACTTGATAAAGTAAATATCCTGTATTTTTGAGGTCTAGTATGTTTTAAGGCATAACAATTGTGACCATGATGAGAAAAGGTAAATAAATCCTGATCACATGATTTGAATTGATTCATCAATAAAAATTCTTATATCAGATTTTGGAAAAATAGGTTATTTTGGGTAATATTTACAATAGTGTGCAACATAATGTTCTACACAAAGGATATTTTACCTGTGGCATACAACTATTCATTTTGGGGTTCATACTATGAAAAACATTTATCAGAGTTATTTAATCACTAATTTCTTAATTGTCTTTTATCAGTAAGTATGGCTAGTCTTTTAACTGCACTTTTTAATATAAATCATAGAAGAAACATTTTGAGAACAGATTAGAAATAATTTTGATTCAGATAAAATTACCCAAAATGCCCTACATACTGAAATAGTGAATAGAAAAGCAGCCAAAATATTTCTGTCAGTACACATGCACTTTAAAACACTGTGGTAGATCAATTCTACTTTTTTAGCTCCATACCTACCATCTACAGCCATATATTGGTCCACATAAGTGAACATCTTACCAGTAGTTGTATAAATAACATGGGGAAAACCCATAACATGTCAAGTAAACTATAGTTAATTTTAAGGCTTTTTTCACTTTAAGATTACCGGTATTTAATGATGTCTCTCCTCAAATTAAAACTTGATTCTCATTTTGGTTTTGTTTTTAGAGCAAGAACTTGTTACAAAATCAATCAAGTGGAACAGAATCAGATGTAAGTTCTATATTTGAGAATTCAATATAGATCATATGCTGGTTACATATATGTATAATGCCTTGGTTTTTAACTTTTTAACCATTAGTTCTATGTTAACACAAATTTCATGTCAATAATTTTGCATTAGCATTGTGTGTTATAAATTTTGTGTATAACATTAGTAAGGCTCCATATTTGTATATTTTGTGTACCTCCATACAAGTTTGTTGCCGCCAAGTTTTGAGAATTTGGCTTTTTTTTTTAAAGTTTATATAGTAAGGTAAGGGGAAAATACAGATAATTAGAAAGAGGATTAATGTGTCAAAACCACCTGATAGAAATTTGATAGCATGCTTATTATTAATTCAGAAATTATTGCAATGTTTTTGTTAATACGGCAGTATTACATTCACAATAATAAAAAATTGCATTTCTATTTTCATTAACTGGTTTCCTTCATAAAATTTTTGCAATCGCTTTTTTTAGATTTCGTATTTTTGTCAGTGGTCAAGGATTCGCAATAATAAATGCAAACATTAATTTCTGATTTTAAAGTATATTAATGTCTTGTCTTATTAATAGAGATTTTTTTTCCATTTAGTATGTAGGATTGTTTTGATTCTTCCATATCAGATGGCTTTACATTTTTTTTATTGCAGGTGCCATATTCATTAAGGGACCAAAGTCCAGACACACCAATGGACAATTCAGACATAACAAAAATGTTCGATGAGTCACAAAACAATGATGTGGACAATAACAATGTGATAAATGGACATCTAATATCCCGGCCAGACACGGAGGAATCAGATGCTGGTGTGTGCCTTGCGTGTGGGTCAAGGGATGCAAGTGATGAAAATGTGAAAAATGACATATCAAACAATGTTAATAAGTCACATCAGAACCATGTTCTTATTTCTCAAACCTCAACTGTTGTACATGAAAAACCAAAACCTGTGAAACCTCGATTTTTTATTGGCGGTGGAAAGTTTGTTCCTTATTTCTTTCAAAGTAAGTACATAAATTGTATTGTACTGTGCAAACAGTCCAGGATGATCCTATGTTAAATATAAAAATAAGAAGATGTGGTATGAATCCCAATGAGACAGCTACCACTCGAGACCAAATGATGTAGAAAATACAAATATAGGTTGTATTTTGCATTTAATGTATAGAATTCTAAGTGAGTTATGCATTTATATAGAATTGTTCTTTTTAGTGTGCAACAAAATAAACAAAGGAGCACAAATATTTTAAAGCTTGGTTGATTCCATAAATTCACAGATATTAAAAAAAATATATGTTATACATTTGTACCTTTTTTGTCACTTTTTATTTTAAACATTTGAAAAAATATATCTTAAGAATTTGTTACTTTTAGTTGTAGCTTAATGTTGCAATGGGTAATTTGTCAATTAAGGTACAACACAAAAGAGATTTGCCACACTTTGACTAAAAATATGATTACAGTAAAATGTTGGCTGAAAGATCATTGAAAACTAGCATAGTGTGTGTCTATTACTTCTACAGGTGATTAGAAATGATCAATATTTATTAGATTTCAAGTGGGTATTGTTCTGTTATGCTTTAAGTTTTCAAATCCAGTTTCTGAAATTATATTTTAGGGTAAATTTGGGATGTACAGTTGTAAAAGCCAATAGATTTGATTATTTACCCAGATGTATAGATAAAATAAGTTAAATGTTTTGAACTGCAATTTCTGCTTTTATATGAATCGTATAATTTTGACAGGTTTTGACTGTGAGAAAATGTATGAAGCCTTTTCACAGCTGTCTCTCAAATTCCAAAGGTAATTATATTAATTGGCATTAATATTTACTCTCAAGTGCTGTCTTGTTTAAAAAAAAATCAAATTTAAAGGAATGAAAGCAGAAAACAATACAGAAAGACATGAATGCTCCAGCATTAATTTCAAAACTATTTGTCTGGAGGTATTTTAGAAAGGAATGTTATAGGTGGTTAGAAAATTTTGGTTTGAATACAGAACAATCAGTTAAAATTGCATGCAAAAAATGTCTCAAGACACCCAAAAACCATAACCATATCCTCCTTCAGTTCTATAATGCTTTTAAAAAAGCCTTCAAGTATCGACTGTACAATACAGGAAGAAATACTGGCTGCATGTGGAGTTGTGATTTCAAAAAAGACAATGAAATGCTTGCAATTTTACTACATGTAGTGGTTTTTTTGGAAAGTACAAAAAAAAAAATCTTTTTTTTAAAATCTTTTTCAAAATCAAGTGATGCAGTAAAAAAATCAGGACAGAAGTAAAAGTTTTTTTTTTTAATTTTGATGTCACATCTCTTATTAATCATACTGATACCAAGAGAAAACCATTATTATCTTGACCCCTTAACATGTGTTAGATTATATTTTAAAGTAAATGTAATACCAAGATATCTTTTGCTGAGAAATAATGTTGTTTTTAGATGATTAAAGTAATAGGATCATTTTTATGTCAGAAATTGAAGCCTATGAAAAGAGTCATAATGAACATTTGATTATATTTTCATCAAACTCATGATTAAGTTCCGACATACAGTGTTATAGAGTTGCATGCAAATAAAAACCACTAATAGGATTTCTTAAGAGTTCATTTGAAAATTGAAAATTTCGGGGTATGATAATGTAATAAGGATATTATGGAGTTAAATAATTTTTCTGGATTGATTTTTTTTATGATTTTTCTCTATGCTTTTAGCCATGCCATTTAGAGATATTATAAGGGATGGTTGAGTACTCACAAACTAGCTAGCAATGCCCACAAGTTAATGGACCTGTCCAAAGTCATGACATTGTAGATTGTGTAATTGGACAATCTTTTTGAATGCTTTTCTCCTTTGATACTGATGGCAGATCTTTTGTAGTCTCTGTTGATTTCATTCAGAACTTTCATAGACTTTGGGCAATTGACATGACATGAGACATTGATTTTGGTTGATATTTGAAGATGATGATGATGACTTTGGGTTTATCTTCCAGTGACAAATATTTCATGAACAAGAATATGTTAATGAGATATGAATATGAATCCTGCTTTGTACAAGCTAGACACTAGACTTATTCACAAGGTAACAGTCAGAAAGTAGATAGTCACCATACCCAGACACATTATTCTGACTCTATGCTAACCAGTCTTTGATCTTACTGCTAAATGCTGCCTGCTTGATTTCTTGAAGTCTTTGATTTGACCCAGACCTGTGACCTAGGTTAATTCAGATTAGCACGCTACAAAGAGTGCACTGAGGCGGTATATAATTGAAGACCATATGTTATCTTTTTGATGTCTTTTTCGTTATTTAGCTCACCTGGCATGAAAGGCCAAGTGAGCTTTTCTCATCACTTGGCGTCCGGATTCCCTCGTCCATCATTGTGGTCCTTCTTGGTCTGTTAACTTTTACAAAAATCTTCTCCTCTGAAACTGCTGGCCCCAATTTAACCAAACTGGGCCACAATCATCATTGGAGTATCTAATTTACAAGATGTGTCTGATGACCCCGCCAGTCAACCAAGACAAGGCTAAAATTAGAACATAGGGGTAAAATGCAAGTTTTGCCTATTATTTTGAAAACCGCTATGAAAAGAGAAAATCTGACAGATCAAAAATGTTCAGAATGTTGAGCTCTACTAATTGTTTAACACGTCAAAACTGTCAGACAACATTGCAATTAAATGGCAAATTTTACCATTTTTAACCGGAAATTGTCCAACATCTCCTATAATAGATAAATAGACACTTTAAATCACAAAAATTATCAGCTAGGCAAGATCTACTAACAAGTCAAATTTTGCAGATATAGTTAGTAGACTGTCACTCTTTATAGCTTATATGATAAAAATTATAATAGATAAATACACTTTAAATCACAACAATGATCAGCTAGGCAAGATCTACTAACAAGTCAAATTTTGCAGATATAGTTAGTAGACTGTCACTCTTTATAGGAGTGATTGCACTTAAATGAGGAATTTTTTTTACCTCTTTTGTGTTCTGTGCAAAAACTAAAGAAGATAGAGAGAAACTAAGAGACTAAATGATCAGTAATACAAGATCAACTAAACTGAGATTTTTGTCACGAATTCTATTCTCGTCTATGTTGGAGAGTGTCCTTTGTTGAATATGCACATAGACCAAGATGAGTGACACAGGCTCTTTAGAGCCTCTAATTCTTATAGTTAACATTCAGATTTAGTCTTCTGTAAACTGGAAGTAGCTAATTATCTCCCTTATTTGAAAGAAAAGTATATAGAAACCATGTATTTTCGGAATCAGTGGAAAGTAAGCTATCTTATTAAACAGGAAATGACATTTTCTTAAACGGAAGTAGCAAAATATCTCCCATATTTAAGTCAAAAGTATATAGAATCCATATATTTTTTGAAGCAGTATGAAGAAACCTATGATTGGATGCCAATAGTAACTTTGAGTAAATCAGAAGTAGCATCTTATCAATTTTTTAGAAATGTAATGTGGAAAGAACTTCAATTGTTCTCTGAACAATTGGTTTTTAATTTAAAATGTATTTATTTTATTATACAGAATTCCAAGGACCAATATAATCCTCGCAATATGCATTATCATGTAAGTATACATTGTCTCATCAATGACTAATGTGGGAGGGTTTAATTTATATTGTTCAAAAGTGTTTAGTTTTATGAATAGTAAAATTTATTAACGAAAAAACTCATACTTCAAATTCATCAAAGTGATATTTGCTGCTTCGATGGTCAAATGATAATTAACAATATTCTCATAAAGTATCAAAACTTATTTTGTGATCCTGAACTTGATACACTTAAAAAATTAAAAAATAGATTATTAAAATTAGTTCAATGAAGAAAAGTACATACAGTATATCCCAACTTTAATGGTGAGATTATTAATTTCAGGACATTATTTTTAATTGTATCAGCTATGGCATTAACCTACAAAATCCTTTTGTTGCAAGTCAGGATTGATTCCAAAGATATCTGGTCACCATCTTCTAAAGCTCAGTGGAGGTAGGTTCGCATATGCGTGTCTTATATTCATTGTACCACCTTTCTAGAAGTAGGGGCTATATAGAAATCCCCTTGTTTGTCTGTGTGTCCAACAAATATTTTCATCATACTTTTCTCCAAAACTACTGAAATTTGGTTAGCAGCTTGATAGTGTTGAGATATTAGTTATGAGAACTTTTGGGATTAATCAGATAACTACCGGTACTTCCTGTTTGCTGATATTATGAATTTTTCAATAAGTGGAATAAACTAATAAATATTTGTCACACTTTTCTCAGAAACTTCTGGTAAATGTTGCAATCTCTCAACAAAGATAACAGAACTTTATCTCCTAGCAAGAAAATGGTATACAATGAAAATATAAAACATTTATATGTAGACTATGTTAATGTGTCACCTACTTGCACCAAGAAAAAATGTATCTTTAACCCAAGAAAAAATATATTTATAAGTTGGTTACAATACCTTCCAAAATTTTACTTCCAACAAAACCCATCTAAATTATTTACTTTTGTATATATGCATGATATTAATTCAAGTTTATTTTATCATCAATCGTTGAGACCACTTTTTCACATTTCTTACAAGACTGTAATGTGTTGTCGAGAAATACTAGACAGTTAACATGTGCTTACTCAATACTGTCAATATCATATCTCTAGGGATAGCAAATGCTATTTCAGTTTTTTTCATGGATAGTTGGATTTAGAAATTTCTAAATTGATCTGATTGGGTTATCATTTCTAATCTAAATTATCTCCCTTGGCATGTTTAATATTTAAAATGTCAGATGACTCATGAGACAGTTGTGTTTACCAGTGAAATATTGATTTTTACCAATCTCAATTTATTATAATTAAAATGTTATCTCATGAATAAAACAAAAAGTAATAGGTCCTTTAAATGATCATAACTGAAAAAAAAAAGTTTATTATATTGTGAGTTGAATTCAGTTGTCTAAAAATGGGGGTTGGGGGTAATGTTTATAAACGGGTACCATATATAGGACTTGAGTTGAAAAGTTACTGGTTGGAATTTTTTTTTTTCAACAAAATTTCTTCAGTATATATAATTAATGTGCACAGATGATTAAAAGTGCCTGTTGAATTTAGTCGCAACTTATCTAGAAAAAGAAGATGTGGTATGAGTACCAATGAGACAACTATCCATCCAAGTCACAATGTGTAAAAAGTAAACAATTATAGGTCAAAGTACAGCCTTCAACACAGAGCCTTGGCTCACACCAAACAGCAAGGTATAAAGGGCCCCAAAAAGACTGGTGTAAAACAATTCAAACAGGAAAACCAACGGTCTAATTTATATAAAATACAAGAAACACTTGACTTTTTAAATGAATTTACTGATATCACTGTGACATGATAGTTGGCCAATCCTAAATATTAATTAACTATTTGCCTCTGGACTGAAAGCAGACAACAATCACTCTTCATAATTGACATTTCTATACTCACCTGGTCATATATTGTTATTTATGAATAATAGATGAAGGGTATATTTTAATCAGACATCAACCATGAACCCAACAAAAAAGCCAAAACATATAGTCCCCAACAATAGACAGGTGTCTATATAATATGTCAATCTCTAAATCACTGTGAATAAAAAAAAAGTCAATAAACTTAACAGACGATCAACTGATGACAAAAAAATTTCAATATGACATGTCAACTACTGATGCAGCACATATGGCATAGTTAAACTAGTTTTTCAGATCTCAATCCTACCCCTTTTTTTAATCTTGTTAAGTGATTAGTACAGGAAAAGCATTTAACTCTTGAACAAAATGGAAATCTGCCACTGAGGACCACCTCTTAATAGGGAGGTAAATTGTTTTCCTCTTTGTCAAAACATTAGTATTGACTTATAGAACTTGCATGTTGTTTTAGGTAATAAATTCATTAATGACTTCATATGAATGATAATTTTTGAATTTTTAAACCCAACGTTAGTCATTGAACTGCAGAAAGTAAGATAAAATATATAAGAAAAAACAGGACAAAGTTTCAAGCAAATCTTCAACTAAAATTTTCCATTAAAGGAGATATCCATTTTTGAGATTTGAAAAGTTGATACCTTTGTAATAGAATAAGCTTCATTTTGAAGAGATTGTATAATTCAGGAATGTTTGCAATTTTAAGGTAAAAAAAAAAACAATTTGTATAATACTTTCTTCTTTTATTCACTTATTTTTCAGAGAGAAAATGTACTCATCAATATATGGTCTACAAAATCAGAACCATTTCAGTGTTGTGAAACAAATGAATGAGATACTGAAATCAAACCTGCAGGTGTTAGAAGAGGTAAGACTGAAAACTCAAAACTTTAATGGTTGGTCCTGATCAATGCTGAAAAACATGCAACACTAGAAATAATTACTGTATAGTACAATCCAGTAAAACCAGTTATCTATTTCTCTAACAATTTCACATTAATAGTGAAGGTACAAATTTAAGGTATATCCTTGCATGTCTGTTTTAAATGTAACTGCCTTAAATTTACTTTTATATTTTTATGTTAACTGCTGCATTGACATTTTAATAAATAAAACAAGTTGTAAACCTCATCCCACTTTGTGGCCAAGTACCCGAAAAAAACTCAAACACAAAAGTAGTTTCAACTTTAGCCTTAGATGAAATACTTTAAAAAAAAATAGGGTCTGCATGCTTTGAAAATAAAGAATAGTTAAAGATTGAACACATATTTTCTTATTATGTTTTTATACAACCGCAAATTTATTTGCGTTTGTATTATGTTAAGGTGTTGTCTGCATCTGCGTCTGAAGACATTTTGTTCACAGACAATAACTTGAATATAAGTTCATGGATCTCTATGAAATTTTAGCACAAGGTTCCATACCACTAAAGGATGGTTGGGATTGTTTTTGGGGGCTATTGTCCTAGCAGTTTTGTAATTAGGGGCCAAAAAAGGTCAGTTTTACTGGTTCATGGAAAATTAATTGGTTCACAGACAATAATGGATGTGTAAGAAATTTAAGCACAAGGTTCCATATCACAATAGGAGGGTTTGGGATTGATTTTGGGGGTTATTGTCTTAGCTGTTTTGTAATAAGTGGCCAGAAAGGGGCCAAAACAATTATGTGTCTGGTTTTAAGACAATGACTTGAGTAAGAGATAGTTCTCTGGTCAAAATTTTAGCACAAGGTTCCATACCACAATAGGAAGGTTGGGATTAATTTTGGAGGTTATTGTCATAGCTGTTTAGGAATTAGGTGCCAAAAAGGGTCTAACAAAAACAATTTTTTGTCAGGTTCACAGACAATAACTTGAGTATAAGTGTATGGATCTCTATTAAATTTTAGCACAAAGTTCCATTCCACAATAGGAAGGTTGGGATTTATTTTGGGGGTTATTGTCGTAGCTGTTTAGTAAAAAGGGGCCAAAAACAAGCATTTTTCATGTTTCAGGACAATAATTGGTGTATTAGAGCATAGATTTCTATTAAATTTTACCACAAGGTTCTTTACTTCAAAAGGAAAGTTTTGATTGATTTTTGGAGGGTTATGGCCCATAAAAAGGGGTCAAAAAGGGGCAGAAAACAACTATTTTTCTGGTTTGCAGGCAATTTTATTACAAATCTTGGCTTGGGTTGAAAACTAACGCATGATATAAAATAATTTTCATTGGAACAAGTGAGATCGTCCAATTGTTTTCTCTTAAAAATTCTAAATATTGGGCATCATTTTAGAATAGCCTTTAAATTATTGTTTTCTACAACATTTGAGAAAACAATGTTTTTTTAACAATGACTTTTGTCGCAGAAAGCTCGACATAGGGATAGTGATCCGGCAGCAGAGGCATTAGCTAACTTCTTACAAGCTTTATATTTTAGAAGCTAAACCTGGATGCTTCATACTTTGTATATAGATGCCTTATATCACGAAGTTTCCGTCTGTCATATGTCCATTGTCCTTGACCTCATTTTCATGGTTCAGTGACTACTTGAAAAAAAAGTCAACATTTTTTGTAATGTTAATTTCTTTCTTATTATGAGTAATATGATAACTATATTTAGTATGTGCGTACTTTGCAAGGTCCTCATGCCTGTCAGTCAATTTTCATTTGACCTCGACCTCATTTCATGGATCAGTGAACAAGGTTAAGTTTTCGTGGTCAAGTCCATATATCAGATACTATAAGCAGTAGGTCTACTATATTTGGTATATGGAATGATTGGAAGGTGTACGTCCAACTGGTAGGTGTCATCTGACCTTGACCTCATTTTCATGGTTCAGTAGTCAAAGTTAAGTTTTTGAGTTTTGGTCTTTTTTTCTAATACTATATGCAATAGGTCAACTATAAATGGTGTATGGAAATATTTTATGATGTACATGTCAGTCTCACAGGTTTTATTTGACCTTGACCTCATTTTCACAGTTCATTTCTCAGTGTTTAGTTTTTGTGTTTTGGTCTGTTTTTACTTCAACTATAAGCAATAGATCAACTATATTTGATGTATGGAATGATTGTAAGGTGTATATGTCTGTCTGGCAGGTATCATCTGACCTTGACCTCATTTTCATGGTTCATTGGTCAATGTTAAGTTTTCATGGTTAAGTTTGTTTCTTAGGTACTATAAGCAATAGGTCAACTATATTTAATGCCTAAATTGATTGTAAGGTGTACATGTCTGTCTGGCATGGTTCATCTGACCTTGACCTCATTTTCATGGTTCATTGGTCAATGTTAAGTTTTCTTGTTTAAGACTGTTTCTTAGAAACAATAAGCAATAGGTCAACTATGTTTGGTTTATTGAATGATTGTAAGGTGTACATGTATTTCTCGTTTGGTTTATCTGACCTTGACCTCATTTTCTTGGATCATGTTAAGTTTATGTGTTACTTGTAGTAAAGCTTTGTATTTAGGACTATCAACATAAAATCAATGGTTAGTAAAGAAGGCGAGACATTTCAGCGTGTGCACTCTTGTTTGGATCTTCTATTACTGTATATTATATTTTTTCTCTATACAATGTGGATTATTAAAACGAATGAAAAAAAAATAAAGTGAAAAATATGCTCAAATATCGGTCTTTATCTTCTATGCATATTTTATTTTTATAAAATAAACAAAAGAAAATCATGTTAAATATAACATATCTTAAAAATATATCACACTATTTTTTACCATTATACCTAATTGAGGTAAATACGGTACTTGAATATGCTGAATCTGTCCAAATATAAGTCCAAAATTTAACTATATGACGTTCTTTAATGTGCTAAATCTAACCTTGTATTTAGATTTTGGATTTTCACTGCCCTGTTATCAAATTGGACCACAGTGATGTCCAAAATTAAAATTTGTTTGATTTCTCTTAGGGTTCTATGATAACCTGAATCTAACCATGTATTTAGATTTTTGAAATTGGGCCATGATAGGTAAAAGTCCAATTTCAAATTTTCCAGTTCTTTGACTACATTTATTCCTTGTCAGAACCCTATGCTATGTCAAATATTTAATCACAATCCAAAACCAGAGCTGTATCAAACTTGAATGTAGTGTCCATACTTGCCCCAACTGTTCTTGGTTCGACCTCTGCGTTCGTATCAAGCAGCGTCCAGCGGCGCATTTTATTTTGTTTTGATTTTGTTCCTGTTTTCAGAAATAATTAGATGTAGTCAATGTCAATATTTTAAGTAAAATGAAGTTTTTTCTTTTATAGTTAAGTGAAGATTTGAAAAGAATAAAATCTTGGGAACCTGAAAGAACTCATTGTGAAAAGGAAGAGACTGAGTGCAGCTGATACATAACATTCCTGTTCAAGTGTATAGACTAGTCCAAATCAAAAGACAGAACATTCCATTGTTTATTTATAGTGTGGATATAAACTGTATCAGGACTGTTGAAGTAGGGCACATTATCTGTATTTTATATCTGTGATGCAACATTTTTACAAATTGTGAAATGTTTTGTTATGATCAATTTTTGTGCAATATTTTATGAAAGAATACATGTCAATATTTTATGTTGCTTTTCTTATTGCACTGGTTGAAAACAATCAATGAACTATGATCTTGCTTTATGCAATCAGTTAAGTGTTTGGTAGTTTATGCATATCTGTAGGCAGGTAGAAAATAGTTAGTTTAGGCCATTAAAAGATATTGTTCTGTTTCTTAGGTCAAGACCTTTTTTTCTGTTGGAAGAAAAAACAGCAAACATTTCTATTCAAATTTCCTACATTTTGGAAATCTTCAATATACAAAAATTAAAAAGATGAATTTAAACACAGACAAAAATAAAAGAGATATGAATAATATTAGCTAGTCTCTTTCTAGAAGGCTGCTTTGAATGTGTTTAGAATTGTAAAGATTTAACCCCTTAAAAATGCAAGTTTTTTACTTTTATTGGATATATAATGAAGAGGCCTAAGAATGAGGACATTATGTTTAATGACTTTTAAATTGTCATTTTGAAGAGTGACTTTACTGCCGTCCAATGTGATAAAGTTTTCCCTTTCATTAAATTTGTTATCTATTATATATTTTTGTAAGCTACTTTGGTGCATGTTAATTAAGTATTATTTGAAAGCATAAGATTAGTTTTGACTGAATAAAATAGTCTAGCAAGCAATTTTCTATTAAAATTGAAACCTTAAGAAATTGATTGATGTTAAATATAAATAGTTTTTGTGTGCAGAAGTTCAGTAGGCATTTTCATGAAAATAAAATATGATTAAAACTTCTACATTTGTTTGTAATAAGTAATGAAGATATCAATACAACTTGTGGTCAGTACTAGTTGTAAGATTTTTGTGAAAAGGTCTAGAAAATCACTGAAGATACTTTGCTATGATCCAGTTTTATAATTGTTAGCAAAGTTGGAAAGCTTGAATTTTCAGAATTATTTTTATTTTCTCAACTTAAAGTTTCCAAATGTCTGCAAAATTTACCAATTAAGCAGAGGAGAAGTAGATATACTTCTCATTTTATATATAGATATGTCTGTCTGACATAGCCATTGTATAGGTTTATCAAAATATTTGAATTTTTACTTTTAATGCCAATCAAATATAGTATATATAATATACATAAAATTCAAGATTTTTACAGAAATGTAAATTTTATCTTGTACCAAGATTAATGTTTTCCTTATATGTTCAAGCATTACTAACATTAATCACGTTAGTTTTAATTTTAAAGGTTATAATTGTGATAACATTTTCATTTTTGCTAGCCAAAACCAAGTAATTTAATTCAAATAACAGCCATAGTTTACAAGACATTTACAGGTATCACATAAATGCCCCAATTTGAATATGTTTAGGAAGTAGTAGCATGTAAGCTTTCTGTTCAACAGTTCACTGGAAATCTACATGATGAAACAATTCTGACCTTACTATACACCACAAGATTTATGCCAAAGTCTTGGAAAAACCATTATAACAATTGTAATTCAAATTACATAATCTTGTTTTTTTGAATTTCTTATTGATATTGGTATTAAGTGATATCAGATGTTGATAACATATAGTAGTGATATTATCTACTTAGATTGTTTAACTGTAAGATTTCATTCTATTTCAATTGATGATAATGATATAAAATGATAATGTATGAAATTTTATTATTATTGAAAACCAGAAAACTTGGTTCAGTTTTTATGGAAAAAAGTGAACTTTGTAAGATATTTATAATTTTTTGACAATGTACCAAACATTAGCATGTAAAAATGATTTGTTATTAATTAGGTCTTTTATTTATACATGTAGTACAGCTTTCATAATTCATTACCTACGAACGTTGATAAGAAATGAAATAGAAAAACTGTTGTTGCTTCATTTTATTACATGTACTAACATGACAATCATTTATAAAACCCAATTGCTGTATTCCCAAACCACCTAAATCAGTGAATCATTCTTACATTGTGTTAAAAAAAAAAAGAAAAGCAATTCCATTTTAAGTTAGCCAGTTCACAATTACTATGCATTTTATAAATCTGTATAGATTTTCCTAATTTCTGTAAATTTTCTTGATTTTTAAATGTTTTTTAAGTTATATCAATTTTGTTACATCACTTTAAAACAAAACCAAGTGTATTCCTCGTTGTTTGACTTGTAATAAGATCAGTAAGCTTATATCTTAAAGCTGACCAAATGAAATATTTATTTTAAACAGCTGTTATAAAGTTTTTTGCTTTTTTAAATGCATGTTCAATTAAGAGAACTTTTTCTCACTTTACATTTACCGAGGATGGGGCTTAGTGTATTATTAAAATTATTTAATGTATTTTGTATTTGAGATAAATTTTGTGAATCGTGTAAAAAAAAAATTTGCATTTATATTCTCTGTTGAATTAAAACTTTTCATTTTGGTTCACTTGTAGTGGAGTTAGTTAGGCTTATAATGTCAACTGCCTAATTTTTGCCTTTTTCTTTTAGTGACTCGAAGAGGTTGACTGAAATTTGATTATATATATTTTCTTTTTAATTGCAGATCAAATACAAGAGATGTGTAACAAGAATTAAAATTTTGTGAATTAATTTTGATAAGGATAGAAATTTAAAAAAAAAACCTTTTTTTTCTATTTTGAAAGAAACATTTTTCTGCAGGTGTTAAAAAGGGAGATAGTTTGTCAAAGTTTTTAATGAATTTTCTTTCTGTTGTCAAAGTATCTTGAATTATTAATATAGTTTTTATGGGAAATTGATTTTTTTTCCATTGCATCTGATGTATTTCCACAAAAATACTCAAGTATGTTACATTTCATCTTGAACCTGTGGTTATGAATGAAAATGTGATATAGCTTGATCTGCTGAATGAAAGATAGTTAAAATAAATAAAATTTTAACTCTCAGGACATCATGACAATCAAAGACTTACTTGTGACAATTTGTTTTTATTTCATAGTGTAGACAATAATGATGATCTCAAACAACTTTTTGATAATCCTTTGAAACCTTTATCTGATTATTTGATTGATTTACGATGTTTGATCTAGAAATCGGGAGTATTGTTCAGTGAGGCATTTGAAAAACCATCTTTTCAATATGTAGAGTAAAGGACCAACATAAAATCAGGACAATTCGTTTTTATTGTACACTTGTTAATCTTTATTTATTGTTTTATTCATTCCATTTTAAATCATTATTTTACATACATAGTTTGTCAGAAAGAAAATAATAGGCAAGATATAATAAGGAATGCTACAGATATAAACTGTTGTTCAGGTTTTATCAAATTAAGAGCATGTTGCTATATCATAAATATCTTTTAAGAAGAATAGCGTGATAATGCTATAACCCTGTCATCAACTTAAAAAGATTGTGAATTGCGTCAAAAGCACTACAGTAAATTCAGAAATTATTGCGTGCATTTATTATTGTGATTTTTCTGATAAAAAATGTGAGATTTATTTTTGCGATTTCAGAACTAGCTTCGTGTAGATATATGTAACAAAAATCAGAATGTGAGTTCTTATCATTGCAATACTCACCCTGTTGCATTATTCGCATTGATAAGAACCACACAATAATTTCTGAATTTACAGTATATAGACCTTTTTTCGTAAAATGGTGTTAAAGCATTGAAAGTGAAATTTATTTAATGTATATTAAATAAGCTTAAAGAAGCTCTTTTCCTTTTTAAAAAACTAAGTTTTCTGTAAAAGTATTGTACTTTCTAAAGATAATGTTAAGTATTTAAAATTGTTAACAAGTCTGTTGTTAAGTTTGAAAAGTAAAATTTTTGTTTATATGTACATGCATAGATTTTGTAAAATCTGTTCATTGTTTGTACATGATTAAAATTTTTGTGGAAGTTAAATACGGTTCAAATGGTATGTGTTTCTGTTGATTTACTGTTTATAATTAGGGCTGATCCGATCCAGAATTAAACGCATGGGTGGGTGGGTGGGTTTGGACATGGGAGGTACTCAAATTACAATGTAATAAATTGGGGGTGATTGCATTTTCTTTAGAATTTTGAAAGAATTAGAATTAAAATGAAAAATTTATATTATGTGTGGTTGGGTCTTAAAAAAAATAGTGCCTCCCAATCCCCCTCACCTGCATTTAAATCTGGAACAGCCCTAAGTTGTGTTTGTAAGCTAATGACTTGTACTTAAATTTCACATATCTACATACACCAGTTAATCCAATGCATCAGTTCAGCATTTATTCGTGTCAGAAAAGAGTAGGTGCACTAAGAACCCCTTTGGCCTAAAAAAAGTATTACAAAATAAGATGATTTATGCATACAGATAATTGATAAATTTGTGCAAAGTTTAAACTGTAAGATCTTTGAAAAGAAAGCATGTATTAAATTATCCTACGGAATTTGACAAAAAATGTGAGTGGGAAATGATTTAAGAAAAACAAATTCATTCTTGGATTTTAGAAATTACCATTTTAAATCTTTCTTTTGATAAATAGTTAATTTCCTGGTTTTAGTGTACCAAAATGTTCACAAAAATTGGTACCCCATAAATTACATTGCATGTGAAAATACCATTGATAAAAACCGAACATGAAAAAGATGTATGAACTGGATAATTTGATGTGTTTTATAAAGGGAATTTATGACTATGTAACAGTGCTATCTTTTCATCTGTGATATTAAGCTTGCTTTACATTTCAGTTCTATGTTGAGTATGTGTAAGCTACTGGTGTATGGTTATGCAGTTTTATGATTTTGTTATTATAACATTGTAACCAAAAAGTACTTAATGAAACCTTTATGGGATAGTCTTGGTATTTTGCTACATATTGATTTTCTATAAAATATCAATAGATCATCAAGGCTGTCATAAAGAATATTCTTGTTTGCTGGTCATCCCAATGATTTTTTTATGTTTGTATCAAACATTTTAATTTTGTTTTCATTTGTAAATACAAAATTAAAGTTTTAAATCTAAAAATATTGTTCTTAAATTGAAATGTTCTAAAACAATTTATTATAAAACCTTGCCAAAATGAAGGGATCCATGCTTAAAGGTACTTTTTTTAAATAGAAATTTTAAGTGAGATCAACTGAGACAGCAATCCAACATTACAAAAAATATCTAGAAGACACCACATGGTCGTCTTCAAAGTTGATAGTTATGAATTGAAAACTTGTGTCATCCCAGTTTTAATATAGAATAGTCTCAGAAACGTAAATATTTATTTTGACTGGCCTAAACTGATCGTATTGTATGTACATTTCTTAAATCTTATTTATTATTTGTTTGTAACTTGCCTCATTTTAACCAGGAAACACATTTCAATTTGTATATTATATCTATGCAAGTAGATACATGTATGTTCTTAATTTTGTTGTTTCTGAAAAAAGAAAAAAAGAAAAAAAAATGACACTATGTCAAATTTACTGTTGCACATTCCAGCAATTATAAAAAGTAAATGTACATTTAACTGTAAGATGAACACTTAATTATCATCCTAAAGTGTTAATAAAATATTCCATGAAAATATTAAATTGTTTACTGTTTTAAATTAAGAAATATTCTAAGCACACATTATTTTAGTATTTCAACTGGCAATTTAATGTGTGCTATTTTTTATTTTTTTTTATCATATAGATGATGGTGATTTATAGGTATCCCCATTGTGATAAATTTCAATAATCTCGCATGTGAAATAGCTGGTTTATTTTCAGTCTCTAGCCTGTCCCCACCTTTTACCAGACTCTCACTTGATACTTCTAACTAAGTAGTTGAGCCTTGATACTTTAAACTAATTGATTAAGTGTGTCACATATCAAAAAGTAATAGGCAGGATGCATTTAAAACAACTTCTTGCTTCACAATAATTGCAAAACCTGCATTAATCTTTTTGAAGTGACGATTTGCCATTTTGACAACAGTGTGCAATACACATTTGTCCAACATACACTAGTAACACAGAAAAGAGTTTTGTTATATATTTCTGTATAATAAAAAGTATAACTTATCACCGTATTGAATATAAAAAATAAGACCATTTGTAACCAAATGCCACTATAGATTAAACTTGTGCTGCTAATTTGTTTAATCCATGTGTTGTTTGTTCACACGTTGTTTTATTTTTTTTATATGCAAATATGGATATTAGTTATATATGTACTATAAGAAATAATGAGGACATCATTTAAGATTAATAAATGACGTAGATATGTTTATTTCTAATATGATTTTCATTCATTAGATTTAGAGCAATTTTAGTTTCATGAATAATTTCAGAAAGATCATTATTTTACGCTTTTATTTTAGAAAAGGATTGGGTGGTGGACAAACATAACTTTTTTGACAGTGTAATAAATTTTACACTTTAGAAGTAGAAAAAAAAATGGCAGTGTGAAAATCTTTGGAAAAGTACAGGTATATTTATTGCACCCTTTATGCGAAACAGTTGACAAACATGTTTTTTGTAAAAAAAAATTAAACATAAGATGGTTCTAAAAAGGCCTTTTATTTATTTATGATTCTTTTTGAATATCATCTTTTTATTATCATGCCTGAATTTTTCCAGGTGACTAACCATGTATCTGTGAAAAACAGAATATTTTTAGTATTTGTTACATTGTATTTGACCACTAATCATATGTCCCATTATTATGACCAACTTTGGACATGCATGCAATCTTTTGATCAAAATATTCAAATCATAGAAACAATTTTTTAAATGAATGATGCAATTAATTATTTAGTCATTGAAGTGTTTTATTGATTATTGTAAAAGTAAAAACACTAGCAAAAAGTATATTAATGATGTAATATAATTTCTTTGAACAAATCCAATTAAATTTCTGTTCATATCTATAAACCAGGTATTTTTTTTAATATAAAAAGTAATAAAATGGTAAGTTTTCAAAACTCTACAAATAATATTTCACCAAGGATTTGTATAGTGAGACTCTCACTATACAAATCCTTGATTTCACTGATTAGGAACTTTTTTTATTTCCATATTAAAGATAGAGTAAAAATGTAATATCTGTTTCAGAATCTTAATTGGTAATTAGTTTATTTATGTACTAAAATGAATATCAAGTATAACCATTTTTTTATGAACAGAGTAATATCAATCAATAACGATGTAATTTGGAGTGTTACCTAGAATTCAAGAGTTATTCAATTTGCAAATTTCATATATTCATAGTTTAAAAAAATACTTTGGTGTGAGAAACAAAAACTCATTTGATGTGGGTATATTAACTAATCAGATATTTTTATTTGATCACAATCTACATTTTTTATTGTTTGTTGTTATGATGTATTTGAATTATATTATTGAAAATTATTTATTTTTCACGAAGCAATGGGTGGAAGCTTCACAGTAAATAAAAGTTTTTAAAATATTTGACACATTTATGTTTTTTTTTTTCTTCCTACAAATAAATTAGAAGATACCCCATGTGCTTAGAAATGAAAGCACCTTCATACAATATAAATATTTTGCTTTGCCAATTATAGTAATGATCATGCCAACTTTCTTCCGAGATAGATTAATTGATTTAAAGAAGACATCCTATATATATAGTAAGAGAGGACTTGATCGGTTTACAATAGAATGATTATATGTTGTGATATTGTCGAGCCTGTGACTTTTGTCGCAGAAAGCTTGACATAGGGAAAGTGATCCGACGGCGGCGGCGGCGTTAGCTAACTTCTTAAAAGCTTTATATTTTAGAAGCTAGAAGACCTGGATGCTTCATACTTTCTATATAGATGCCTTATGTTATGAAGTTTCCGTCTGTCATATGTCCATTGTCCTTGACCTCATTTTCATGGTTCAGTGACTACTTGAAAAAAAAGTCAACATTTTTTGTAATGTTTATTTCTTTCTTGTTATGAGTAATAGGATAACTATATTTAGTATGTGCATACCTTGCAAGGTCCTCATGCCTGTCAGACAATTTTCATTTGACCTCGACCTCATTTCATGGATCAGTGAACAAGGTTAAGTTTTCGTGGTCAAGTCCATATATCAGATACTATAAGCAGTAGGTCTACTATATTTGGTATATGGAATGATTGTAAGATGTACATGTCCAACTGGTAGGTGTCATCTGACCGTGACCTCATTTTCATGGTTCAGTGGTCAAAGTTAAGTTTTTGAGTTTTGGTCTTTTTTTCTAATACTATAGGCAAAAGGTCAACTATATTTGGTGTATGGAAATATTTTATGATGTACATGTCAGTCTCGCAGGTTTTATTTGACCTTGACCTCATTTTCACAGTTCATTTCTCAGTGTTAAGTTTTTGTGTTTTGGTCTGTTTTTACTTCAACTATAAGCAATAGATCAACTATATTTGATGTATGGAATGATTGTAAGGTGTATATGTCTGTCTGGCAGGTTATGGTACCAACAGTTAAGGAATTAGGGGCCAAAAATAAGCATTTTTGTAACTTCCAGACATAACTTGTGTGTTAGTGTACGGATCTCTCTGACATTGTACCACAAGGTTCCATATCACAAAGGGAATGCTAGGATTGATTTTGGGGGTAATTGCCTCAAAATTTTAGGAATTGGGGGCCAAAACAGGGGCAAAAAACAAGCATTTTTCTAGTTTCATGACAATAACTTGTGTGTAAGTGTATGGATCTTTCTGAAATTGTACTACAAGGTTCCATATCACAAAGGGAAAGCTTGAATTGAGTTTGGGGGTAATTGCCCAAAACGTTTAGGAATAAGGGGCCAAAAAGGGGCCAAAAATAAGCATTTTTCTAGTTTCCAGACAATAACTTGTGTTCAAGTGTATGGATCTCTCTGAAATTGTACTGCAAGGTAACATACCACAAAGGGAAGGCTGGGATTGATTTCGGGGGTAATTGCCTGAAAATTTTAGGAATTGGGTGGCCAAAAAGGGGCAAAAAAACAAGCATTTTTCTAGTTTCAGGACAATAACTTGTGTGTAAGTGTATGGATCTTTATGAAATTGTACTACAAGGTTCCATATCACAAAGGGAAAGCTGGGTTTGAGTTTGGGGGTAATTGCCCTAAACGTTTAGGAATTTGGGGCCAAAAAACAAGTTTTTTTCTAGTTTCCAGACAATAACTTGTGTTCAAGTGTACGGATCTCTCTGAAATTGTACTGCAAGGTACCATACCACAAAGGGAAGGCTGGGATTGAGTTTGGGGTGATGAATCATAAGGGGGTTCAAAAAATTTGAGGGGGGATTTTTTTTTCATTTTTTTTCTTTAAAATTTTCCATTTTAAATTGTTTTTTTCTGATTTATATATAAAAGCAAATAATAATGATATGGTTTGAATAGGTAAATTAAAATTTTTTAAGTTCTTAGACCACATTCATTCTGTGTCAAAAACCTATGCTGTGTCAAATATTTAATCACAATCGAAATTCAGTGCTGTATCAAGCTTGAATGTTGTGTCCATACTTGCCCCAACTGTTCAGGGTTCGACCTCTGCGGTCGTATCAAGCTGCGCCCAGCATTTTATTGTGTTTTGGTCTGTTTTTCTTCAACTATAAGCAATACATCAACTATATTTATACCCCATGCAATGGGTTGCGGAGGGTATAATGTTTTTGACCCGTCCGTCTGTCTGTCCGTCTGTCCGTCCGTCAGTCCATCAGTCCGTCAGTCCTGTTTCTTGTCATCGCAACTCCTCTCAAACCACACAACAGAATTTCACAAAGCCTTTTTAGATAATAAGGACATACTATTTATTTGTGCATATCGACAGGAAATTGCGATTCAATTTTTTTTCTAGGAGTTACGCCCCTTTGAACTTATTTGCTTCAATGTACTACTGCAACAGTTTGTCATCGCAACTCCTCTGATACCACACAACAGAATTTCATGAAACCTTTTTAGATAATAAGGACATACTATGTAGATGTGCATATCGACAGGAAATTACGGTTCAATTTTTTTCTAGGAGTTATGCCCCTTTGAACTTATTTGCTTCAATGTACTACTGCAACAGTTTGTCATCACAACTCCTCTGAAATCACACAACAGAATTTCATGAAACTTAGTAGATAATAAGGACATACTATGTAGATGTGCATATCGACAGGAAATTATGATTCAATTTTTTTTCTAGGAGTTACGCCCCTTTGAACTTATTTGCTTCAATGTACTTCTGCAACAGTTTGTCATCGCAACTCCTCTGAAACCACAAAACATAATTTCATGAAACTTTGTAGATAATAAGGACATACTATGTAGATGTGCATATTGACAGGAAATTATGATTCAATTTTTTTTCTTATACAATTTTTTTTTCTTACACATATTTTATTTCTCCAATGACAATGTGGGGACGTGGGGTATGTGAGCGCGCTCACTAAGGTTCTTTAATTGTTGTATGGAAGGATTGTAAGGTGTGTATGTCTGTCTGGCAGGTATCATCTGACCTTTACCTCATTTTCATTGTTCATTGGTCAATGTTAAGTTTGTTTCTTAGATACTATAAGCAATAGGTCAACTATATTTAATGCATACATTGATTGTAAGGTGTACATGTCTAGAGACTATAAGCAATAGGTCAACTATGTTTGGTTTATTGAATGATTACATTGTAAGGTGTACATGTATTTCTCGTTTGGTTTATCTGACCTTGACCTCATTTTCTTGGTAAGATTATGTGTTACTTGTAGTAAAGCTTTATATTTAGGACTATCAACATAAAATCAATGGTTAGTAAAGAAGGCGAGACATTTCAGCGTGTGCACTCTTGTGGTAAATAAGAGTCTATAAGTTTATCTGTGGAATTATATTTTGGACATTGGATGTCTGGTGTGGCATCTAGGATGATTTATTACTATTTACTATACCTTTTCTATTGGCGTTTTTGTTAGATTACTTTTATGTTTGTTTGGATTTTTAAGTCAGTTGTGCTGTATGTCTGTGATGTATGTTTACACAGTTTTGACTGCTGGATCCCAATTATTGTTACATTAACCTATTATGTCTGTTTAGGTTGTTTACCCAATTTTGTCAATAAAACGGAACTATAAATAACTGTCATACAAGTGCAGGGGAGGATCTAGCCATTTCTAAAAGGGGGGTTCCAACCATATGTCCCCATTCAAAAGCATTGATTATTCAAAAAAGAGGGTTCCAACCCTAGGAACATTAAATAGACTTAGTTAAAGACATTAGTGAGCTTATGGAGAAACTTAACATTATAGCTGGTTCCCTATGCTAACGGGCAAAACATGGATTATTCGATCCCGGATACATAGATCCGAAAAATGACTAGTTACAAAACACACAGAATAAAAACCTGTGACACAAGTAAACCATTAATGTTTTGTGTCAATTTTTCAAGAGTATCGTAATTCTTCTTAACTGTTTCCCATTTTGCACTATTAGCGACACCAGATATATGCTTTTTAATGTACGGTTATACTCTTCAAAAATAAAGTTAAAAACTTGCTGAGCATCTAAATGAACATTTCAGGAAAATGACTAGTTTTTGTTCAAAGAATTAAGAATTTCTGGTGGCATAAGAAATCTCACACAGATTCTGAGACTTTCAATTAGCATGTATTTTGTGTAGAGTCTCCCATACCAAATTTTAATGATTTTTTTTTAAATTCAAGTGTACAGTTTTGCTATTTTTTGTATGATTGTGCAATGATTTAATTCAAGTTCACAGTTCTCTTGTAAATTGAATCACAACTATTCTTAGACTAAGGTCAATTGTTGAAGACTGTATATTGACCTCTAGATACATTTCGGTATAATTGGAATATACGTAACATTTCCTTTCATTCAAAAGCAATGAAAATGGTGCTTTGTTGATATGCATAGAGATTTCCTTGTACTATACAAGGTTATTATCTTATATACATCTACCCATCATAAGTGTTAAATTTGTTTTATACTAGTATTTATTTCAAAATATGGAAAATGGGAAGTAACTCTACAATTTCATCCCAAATATTTGGAAGTGAGGGAAATTTTACGTACAAAACCTACATTCCAAGTGTGAAGAGTTAGAACTTTTAAAATATATATACATATAAAATCTTTCAAAATAATCACTTTAAAAAATATGCAGGCTTGCAGCTAGCCATACAATGGATCATTGAGAATATCCAGGCTAGCTGGCTAGCCAGCCAATGGATTGTTGTAAAATTTTCTTTTCTATAACCCATACAGTTACATCATATTTACTGTCAAATTTAGAACAGATAATCGCTGGGAAACTAAACTAGAATCTCTTATGAGCATGTGTTGCTCGCCTTGGTCTATGTGCATATTCAACAAAGGACACTCTCCAACAAAAATCTCTGTTTTGTTGATCTTGTATTGCTGATCATTAACATCATCAACATAATTTAACAATGGACAACTAGATATTACTGACATGCCAGCTCCAGACCTTAATTAAACTGATTGAAAGATTATGTCTTCATCATATGAAAATCAAGCGCAATCTATATATCTATTATAAATTTTATCATATAAGGCAAAACGCAAAAAAAATGGTAAAAATCGTCATTAAAGGGCAATAACACCAATAAGGAGTCATGGGACAATTTCCGCCACATTGTCTTAATTGAAGATCTTGTCTTGCTGATCATTTTTGTTTATTTAAGTTTCTATTTATCTATTATAGTTTTCAAGATAATAAGCAAATAAACTATTATCACAGAGATATTTCTCACCTTTTTGTAATTTTGATAATGCAAATGTTGAAATTGAAATAGCAATACTTTAACATGAAGTTATGCAAATATTCAAAGTCGATGAACCATGACTGAAGGTACATGGCTAAACAATCTCCATGGAAATGAGATGTGCCAATGCTAATTAATACAACTGCATACCAAATACCATTAACTTATCATAAGTCCTTCCCTGTAAACAAACCTAAACACAAACATTAACTTGTAAACTATGTAAACCATGATGAGGGGGTGGGGCTATATAATCTCCATGGAAACCATACTTGCAAATGCCAATAAATTTGCATACCAAATATCATTGACTTAACATAAGCAGTTCATCTTAAACTGATCTAATCACAAACTAATATGTAAACTAAGCAAAAGTTTCAAAGTCAATAGACCATGACTGAGGGGGCGGGGCCAAATATTCTCCATGGAAATGAGATGTGCTAATGCTTATACAACTGAGTACCAATTAACATTGGCCTACCACTACTGGTTCCGCTTGAACTGACCTAATCACAAACTAATACATGTAAACTAAGCAAAATTTTCAAAGTCAATAGACCATGACTAAGGGGGCAGAGCCGAAAATAATCTCCATGGAAATGAGATATGCCAATGCTTATACAACTGCATACCAAATATAATTGACCTACCACTAGTGGTTCTCCATAAACTGACCTAATCACAAACTAATACATGTAAACTAAGCAAAAGTATCAAAGTCAATAGACCATGACTGAGGGGGCAGGGCCAAATAATCTCCATGAAAATGAGATGTGCCAATGCTAATACAACTGCATACCAAATATCATTGACCTAGCACTTGTGGTTCACCATAATCTAGACCTAATCACAAACTAATACATTGTTAATGCCGCCGCCGGAAACAGCATACCTATATCTCGCTTTTTGACTACTTCAAGGCGAGACAAAAATGAAAAAAAAATGGTAAAATTTGTCATTTAAGTGCAATAACTCCTGTAAGACGTCGACTGACAGTTTTGACGAATATGAACAATTGGTAGAGCTCAACATTCTGAACATTTCTGCTCATGTCAGATTTTCTCTATAACGGTTTTCAAAATAATAGATAAAAACTTGCATTTTACCCCTAGGTTCTATTTTTAGCCATGTTGGCCATCTTGGTTGGCAGACAGGGTCATCTGACACATGTTTTAAGCTATATACCCCAATAATGATTGTGGCCAAGGTTTGGTTAAATTTGGTCCAGTAGTTTCATAGAAGATTTTTGTAAAAGTTAACAGACGACAAAGATAAACGCCAGTGATGAGAAAAGCTCACCTGGCCCAAAAGATTATGAAGATCTTGTTGCAAAAATAAAACGTCACATGTGGCATATATATTTTATTTTTCTTGTATTATCTATTTCAGTCATTTTTTAAATATAAATTCTGTCACATGATTTAAAACATGATATATAAATAAGTTAAAACGATAAATAGCATTTTTTCTCATTACGTCTAATTTTTTAAACCTAGGTACAATTTGACATTGTTTTTTTGTATATATAATAAAACAAAAAACTATGATAGTATTAGATCAAAGTAAGCACTGTTAATGTTAACTTTGATCTAATACTATCATAGCTTTTTGTTTTATTATATATACGAAAAATGTCAAATTGTACCTAGGTTTAAAAAATTAGAAGTAATGAGAAAACATTATTATATATTATATATATATTCTGCAAAATAATACAAATAGTATTTTAGTTATTTGTATCCCATTCCCCAAAACTAAGTAATTAATTTACATTTTTTTCATTATCTGTCATGAACTGCAGAGGGTTATTAAGGTAAACTCTTTCTTCTGTCTTATTTTATAAAATTTATTTGATTGTTAAAAACAAATCTTTGACATGGCAGTTGACAATGCTTGCACCTCAGTCTTAAAATTCAATTGCTTCCTTAATAGTTTCATAACTGTCATTTTAATATTCAATATCCAATATCCAATGTATATATGTTCACATTTTAGGATAATTTTCAAGTTCATAAGGCTGTGTTTCATCCCAGTATTCTCCTATAGGTTTGCTGAAGGCATCATTTTTCCTGAATGGTGTGTCACCTGTTTTTTCTGAACTAACCCCCTGAAAAAGTAAATGAAGATGCATGCATTATAGTTTGTGACAGCTAAGACTGGAACATACTTTTGTTATTGAAACCTTATTATAACCTACATTTAATAAAAATGGTGATAACTTTTTCTAATGAATGTAATTAACTTATGTTGTCAGGATAATTGAGTCATATTTTTCATGAAGGGGCCTTTTATAGCCGACTATGTGGTATTGGTTTTCTCATTGGCAATCATACCACATCTCCTTATTTTTTTATCAGTTGTTTTGTATTATATCAGCTCTTTAACATTTACATAAATATTTTGGCCTCACACAACACATAAATTGTCCAAATGTGCATCTGGTGCAGGAAAATTGTTACTGTTGATTGTTATCAAATGACAATACTAGGATTTGACCTGTACAATTTAAAATCTATCAACTTATTGAAAATGATTTGAAAATTTTACGTTACGTAATGTCACATTAGAATAAATCTAAAATAATTATACTTACATGTACATTTTTTTTGTGTTCTGACCAAAATGTGACAGGCTGATCTTTTTTGTAATTGTGATTCTGAAAGAAATTTATAAAAAAACATAAAACAAGATGAACTAATGGCATATCTATTGCAAATTTAATGTAATGATACATGTTTATAACTAAGTGGAAGTAGTTACTTAAGACATTGCTGACAAGCTTTTCCTTAAAAAGAGTTCTTCTTATTGTGTCAGAATTATGCCAGTCCAGAGTTTCTAAAAATATTTTTGAGCAAGACGGAGATTTTTTTCCGATCCCATTTTTATAGGATAAAAACAGAATACAAGGAAACAAGAAGAATGAAATTATAAAATTTTGAATATTTTTATCTAAGAAATTGTAATTGCTTTATTTTGTGCATCAAATCAGGGTTTTTTTCTTCAGATGAACCATGAGTAAATAAGGACAAGAATCTCTAAAAATAATATACACTAAGGTTTCCAAAAAAATTTGGAGCCAGTCAAACATTTGCATGACCCCATTTTTCACAAAAAAAGCTTATACAAAGAAACAAACAGAATGAAATTATAAAAAAATGAATATATTTAGTAGCTAAGAAAATGTAATAGCTACATCATCTGTTTTTTTTTTTTTTTACTTTTCCCTTCAATAAAATTTGGTTAAAAATCTCTGGGTAGAAAATAAACATGATTGGGTTACGTGACCAGTCAATTGTTTTATTAGTTGATGTTCTGCTACAGCTACTGTAAACTCATGAATTTTGTTAAATATTTGAAATTTGCCATTTCAGAATCTATAGGTTTATGGGTAATTTCATTGATCCTACCCTAGAATAAAAATAGCATCACATCATTGGTTGAATTAATCTACTGTTTGGGACGCTTCTAACAAATCACAACATTTTGGTGTATGCTTTTGAAAAATTTCCCAGAATGATTCTGATTCTACCACGGTGAATTGTTAAATATGTGAGAAGATGTGAATCTTTTTAATTTACAAACTCTTATTTTTAACTGTGACTATATAAACTGTAGAATTTCCTGAATATGCATTAATCAATGCTGCATCTTAGACCAATTTCTAAATTTAAAATATATTTTCTGTTTGTTTAGGAAAAGTCTATGGAAAAAAACATCAAATTCTTGAAACTTAAAAAAAGTAAAGTTTAAATACTTTGCTTCACTAAAAATATTTATTCTACTGACCTTTGTAGGCTCAGGTCGTACAGACTTAAAACCTTCAATATTGAAATCTTTATTTGTAACTGATCTAAAGTCTGTGGGTTCTGGCTGTGATGCTTCTAACTCTTCATTGAAAACTTCCCTCCTGTAAATGAAATGTATTTGTAACAATTGCATTCTAATTCTAATTTCTATGTGAAAATATCAAGACAAATGTTTTCCTTCAGAGTAACATTTTGCATTGTATACTGAAAATAAGTCACCTTTTTCTTGAAATGATCTTTTTTTTAATCCCTGCCTTACTGAATATGGTTGAAAACTATGGTTGGATGGATGGATTTCATGTACAGCAGCACATTGATGCCACATGGAAATCTAGAATACTGATAGCTTTTTCAATGTGCTATATGGCATGACAGATTAAAAACACAATGACATTTTACACTGGTAACAGCTCTTTTGCAGAAATGTAGATGTCAAACACCAAATCTTAAAAAAAGAATTGACATGAAATATGGTTAAGATTCACAATTTCTGTATCTTCCTTTTTGCTATTCACTTCTTATAAGGCTGTAGTAAGAAGCATGCCAGAACATTTTTTTTATTCAAATTTAATGATTTTTCTAAATTTTAACTTCAACCAATAGATAAAACTTACCCAACTTTTTCAAAAAACATTTCTCTCATCATTTGTTCTTTTTTACCTAAGAAAATATTATTTCATATATTATATATACAATTTTTAAACAAGATATAAATTCAAAATACTTCCTTGCAAAATACAAGTTGATGTAGTAATTTTGTATATATATAGCACTTTCAAAGTCAACTACAAAATATTGTAACAATAACATGCTGAAAGGATTAAAATTGAAAATGTAAACAGAGCAGGAGAAATGAAATAAATACAACAGTTAGTTCAAAATACTTATTTATCTAATTATAGTAGAAATTTAAATAATATTCTAATATGACGTTCTTCAAACGCTTTGAGTACACACCCATGGTAAAATATGAATATATGTTCTGATCATACTCCCACGTCATATGCTTTTTTATGAATGAGCTACCCGATGTCATTGAACGATGACGTAAGAATATAAGCATTTCACGGGAAAATGCACAATTGTGAAACCAAAAGTCATCAAAACAAGGAAACATAAACAAACCATGATAAAATGTGTTATAAGCTAATTTTTTTACATATAAGTTTTATTATCATTTAAATTCATCCAAACCTATCTAAATATGTTATTGTAAATAGTTTAAGCATGTCGCTAGTTCAGTTTGCTCCGTTCTTTTACTTTCATTTAATAACTGTAAATTCAGAAATTATTGCGTAGTTTTTATTAATGCAAAAATTGCAACAGTATCAGGTTTGCAATAATAAAAACTGGCATTCATATTTTCAGAAGAGATTTTCCTCCATAAAAATTTTGCAAACTAATTGATTAGAACTCACTTTTGCCAGTGGTCAAAACCTTGCAATAATAAATGCATGCATTAGTTTCTGAATTTACAGTATTAAATATAGTGTTTACATTATGTCTTACCCATCAATCGAACTCCACAAGGTTCTGGTTTTTTATAAGATTCTCTGACTGTTGTTAGTTTTGATGCAGGGGCTTCTAACTCTGTTGTGAGTATTCCTATATGACCATCTTTAAATCTTTCAGCACTACTTGTGACATTTATATCTTCTTCGACACAATCATAAGGATTAACTGCCCTCTAAAATAATAAAAAAAATTCAAACATTATTTATTATTCATTATTAAAAGGAATTAATAATTCAATTTTTTTTTTCTTTATGAAATTCCAAAATTATCAACAACTAAAATTTTGTATGAACTAGAATTTACCTTTTTATAGCCAACTGTTCTGGCTTTTGAGACGCGACAGCCATACTTCCACGTCGTCCATAGGATGTGTCGGCCATTACTGCCACATCGTCCATAGGACATATCGGCCATACCTTGTAAAGACGTTTCATCCATACTTCTTTAATAAAATTGAGAATGGAAATGGGGAATGTGCCAAAGAGACAACAACCCGACCACAGAGCAGACAACAGCCGAAGGCCACCAATGGGTCTTCAATGCAGCGAGAAACTCCCGCACCCGGAGGCATCCTCCAGCTGACCCCTAAACAAATATGTATACTAGTTCAGTGATAATGGACGTCATACTAAACTCCAAATTATACACAAGAAACTAAAATTAAAAATGATACAAGACTAACAAAGGCCAGAGGCTCCTACTTGGGACAGGCGCAAAAGTGCGGCGGGGTTAAACATGTTTTTTGAGATCTCAACCCTCCCCCTATACCTCTAGCCATTTCCATAGTATGTATTCCATTGTGGTTATAACATAAAATATAATATTACAACAAGTATGGATGGACAAGTATACTCATAGAAGACTGGTTTTAAGTTAAGGCTGTTGATAGTTCATCTCTGCTATGATATTGAAAAACTCATAGAAGACTGGTTTTAAGTTATGGCTGTTGATAATTAATCTCTGCTATGATATTGAAAATTGATTTACAGCTTTTTAACAGAGTGTAGAAACTAAACAGCATATTCCATCTGTGTAGTACTGCTTACCATATTTTATTCTCGTAAGAGCTATCTTTGCTTGATCATCAACCTTCTGTTTACATTTTGTTGGGGGTCATATTGTGTAAGTATAATTTATTTTATTTTAATCATCGATTATAGAGAATTTCACAAGAAATCATTTTTATCGTTGGTTTAATGTGATAAGATGCCATATTTTAATTGCTTATAATATCTGAGAAATAGAACATACATATATAGAGAGAGAGACATAGATTAGAGACATATATATACTCATGTTTCTGCATAGAAAATGCATGTACATTCAAGCACATGTTATTGATCTTTATATTTATATAAATTAATTACTCTATGAAAATAGATATTTATCTAGTTTTTATTGTCTACTTCTATTATTACTTTATTATTCTAAAATTTATTTTTGAAAAAAAACATGGACAACGCGTCTTTATAAAGTATGGGCGATGTTGTCCTATGGCCAAAACGTCTTTTCAAGGTATGGACAGTACATCCTATGGACGATGTGGCAGTATGGATGTCACGTCCTGCATCGCTGTTCTGTACATATTAAAAATGTGAAACCCTTATCAGTAAATGTACAACCAAGTAATTGAATAATTGAATCATGAAATATTCATCTTTAATCATATATACATATACTATACCAGGTACAATTAGCTTGGTCTAATCAACACTGCTTTGTGACATTAATCATATTGTTTGCTAAAGCAATGACATGTGTTACAGTTTGATAATTTTAAGTGTGCAATACTGTTTTGACATATATATTTTCAAAGTAGACATTTACATTTTGTTCTTTTATCTAAGTACATTTAAAAAGCAATATTTCCCATGGAAACAGTGTTTTTCAAGAATTGGGAAAAGTTAATCTTGTGTAACTGGAGAGCATGATTCTACTTGCAAAATCGCATGTCTCCTCCGGGACTCGAACCCAGGACCTTTGTGTTACAAGGCAGCGTGTTAACCGACTGAGCTAAAGAAGTACTTCCTTAGCTCAACCGCTTACGGCTGACTAAGTATCTACTAAATTTCTAAGGGAAGCAATCCCGTCACACTTAGCATCTTCTGCAAGAACAATAAAAAATGAATTATCAATAGCAAAATCTAGTTAATTTTTTTTTTGTATTTTGAAAATAAAGTGCATTTGAATTTTATTTATTTAGGTCCAGCCATGCCTTTTAATTTTCCCAAATGCACAGGTTTGTCTGTACCCAGACTGGCCAGAGTAGAATTTGTGGTGTAATTGTAAATACGGCCATAGTTGACGAAAGTAAAAGAAGTTCTTTCAATTATTCCATCCGTTTACAAACCTCCTCTACCCAATTCTCAAGCAAGCATCTTCCATCTGCATTATTGAATCTTATTTCATTTCTGCCTTGGTTCAAAATACTCATTGTTGAGTGTTATTAGTGGAAATACTGGTGTTAAAAAGGGCAACAAATTTGACCGGATGTAATGGTTTCTATGGTAGAATGTCAACAATGTTTAAAGAACGATAATAAGGGAAGTAACTCTAGAAATAATCATGAAGAGGCCCAATGGCACCTGCTGAAATCCAGACATTCTTTTCTATAACAAACAAAATACTACAACAAAAAAGTCACACACCCCCCCAAAAAAAAACACACAAACAAAATAAAAAAAAACTTCCAAAAAAGCAAAAACAAACAAACAAATAATGACCCCCCCCCCGAAGGATTTGTAAAGTCTAAATATACAAATCTTTGCATTCCTAAAGAAACCCTTTCTGGAACTAAAAGACCACACATATCTAATTCAAATGTTTTTATAGAAACTGAAATTTTTTATTGACAGTTTTGTCTACACTTTAATACAATTTTCAACAAAGTCAGCATTCCTTTGGGAACCAACTGTGCTCCTCTTCTTGCTAGCTTGTTTCCTTGTTTCTATGAGATGGACTTCATACAGGGGTTTTTCAAGGACATAGCTTAAGCATTATCATTTATCTTCATGTTCTGCTAATTAAATTATATCCTAAACACTGATTTATTCAAGGTTTTTAGTGGTTATGTTGAAAAGAGTACAGCATATAAAGTTAAGTCTGCTTCATATCTTAACTTACAACATTGACAAAGAGGGTTGGTTAAGAACATAACTTTACAACAAAAGAGATGATTTTCAATTTTCCCATTTCGAACTTTCTATTCATGTGAAGCAACTTTTGAGCAGCACCTACATATCAGGGGCGGATCCAGGATTTTGGAAAGGGGGGGGGGGGTGTAGTATTAAAGTTTTCCGAGCGGAGCGAGGCGAAAAATATTTTGGACCTTTTTTTGGCTAAAAAACATAAAATAAGTGTAAAAAAAATTTGTTGGACATTTTTTTGGCTAAAAAATATAAAATAAGTGTAAAAAAAATTTTTTGGACATTTTTTTGGCTAAAAAACATAAAATTAGTGTAAAAAAAATTTTTGGACCTTTTTTGGGCTAAAAAACATAAAATAAGTGTAAAAAAAATCGTTTGGACCTTTTTTGGGCTAAAAAACATAAAATAAGTGTAAAATGCATTTTATAGTTAAAGTGTAGGGGTTGGACATTTTTGGTGCCGTATACTCTCCATTAATTGTCTATTATAAAATGATTGGATGGATCCAAAGCTATGTACTAATTAATATATTTGATGTGGGATTTGTCAGTAAAAAATCGACATGGAAAATTTTCGTTTGTTGTATGGTTAGTTAGCATAACCTCACAGATTTCTTGTTGTGAACAAGATATACGGCTATTCAATGAAATTTACAATACGACTGACACAAAGAAAGACAAACAAGCAATTTTTATCCAAATATTTGGTTGAAATGTTTCAACCAACAATGGAAGTGAGGGTTCCAAATCAACCAAAGGCTACGAATGAGTCGGAAATGACAATGAAGTTGTAAATGACGGTCGACACATGGAGACATATAGGCCACACCCAGCAGGCAGGTTGCAGTCGGGCCTTTAAAAAAGTATTCAGTATATCAATTTCGCCGAAACAGACATTCCGGTCAGATATGGGATTCACATGCAACCCCCCACCCCCCCCCAAAAAAAAATTACACCCGTTTTTTATTCATCATGTTCATTTAATGCTAAATAATTTTGTTGAAAATATTTTTTTCTAATAGCAAAAAAGTGGACAAGATTATTGTTTTCAATCCAGATACGGTCAGAATTTTTGTTTAAGGCAAAAATCAGGGTCAGAATTTTTTCTCTAAAATATCTCAGACTGCCCCCTCAAATCAAATGGTCAGTACCTTAGACTTTAAATCTATATCTAGAGCTAACTGACTGGGGATCACTATTCAGCAATGTTATTAATGGGCTGGGGCGTGTTGGGTTAAACATGTTTTCGTAGGTAAATAATATTGCTGTGGAACTTTTTTTTTCATGAGAGTGTAATAGAGTATTACTTTCTGTTGGGTGGAATTGTGAAATAGAAGTCAATACGTTCTTGCTCAATACTTTGTCGCTTTGAAGGCGTCATGTTTGTCATCCTCAGCCTAAGCAATGTGTTACTGTAATTTGAATTTCAAAATGACTGAGTGACGTTTTTTTTTGACGTACTGGTCAACTCCACCGTAGCTACTATGCCCCCCTCTGGATCCGCCACTGCATATGGTCAGTATATATCTGCCAGTTAATACAATATTCCAAGGATTGTGTTTTCTATCATGGTAACCTTGAAATAGGGATCTGCTTATAAGAAAACTATTGTACCAAGGATATTTAATTGCAGGGTTGAAGTCACTAAGACATTAAAAGTTTTAAGAACAATCATTATTTGGTTTATGTTATATGTGTGTCACAAATGACCACAATTTTTTTTCACCTGTTGTAGTCACAATCCCAACCTTTATTCTTCCAATTGTGGCATCACCAAATGTGGCTTATTAACAAATTTTTACTTGCATGAGCAATACAACAGGTTCCACTAATAGAGCAGAAACTGCTACAGTCTAACCCATCCAGACCACCTGAGTTTACTCCTAAGCTTTTTGTGTATTGTTATGTGGATTGCTGATTGTCTTTTCATCATTTTTCTTTTGGCAATGGCTTTGACTTTTTTCTTTCAACTGATGATCCAACCCCTACTGTGAAACAATAAATAATATAAATAAGGAGGGGGTCGGATCTTAACCCTTGGCAAGCAAAGATACCCCCCCCCCCCCCTCCCCTTTTGGTTTCTCTTCTCACCTTTGTTTAATTATTTATTATAATATAAAATCATCTTCATATCTGTATTCCAACTCACCTGAGGTATAAATTCAAAGGATGGCAAATAGGGCATGTTTATCACATATTACCAGGTAATTTAAGGAGATGAGCTAATACTAGGGCTGATGAGATAACTAATAAAACACATAACAAAGGAGGAGGTGGTAAGGATTTATAAACAAGAGGCTCTCAAGAGCCTGAATGGCTCACCTGTAGTTTTTTATTTAAATTTTCCATCAAAGTTTTTCTTTTGCTTTTAAGTTTTTAATGTATAATTAATAAGTGTGGACACAAACCAGTGTGGATAGTATCCAGCATTCTGAGAGTATTGCATGACAATTAGGAAAGGTTAGCTAAAAACAATAAACGAAAAGCAAATATGAAACACAGCAACAAATGACAACCACTAAAATTATTGGATTTTGAGTTGTGCAAGGAGGGATGAAATTTATGTACTGTATCCAAACCCGGTCTTTAACATGGGACTGTGGCGTTACAGCACAACATAAGAACAAACATTTATTTTTTTTCAAATAGACCTTCTGTATGTATCAGTGTGTTTATAATATTCCACATTAGCTAGAGGTACAAAATTTATTGGTGATAGGTTTATATCTCACTAAACATGTTTGACTTGCTGAATTTTTGTGCATATCCTAATTCAGGATCATCTAGGTAGCTTTTGTTAGTCTTGTATGTTTTTTTTTTATCTTGGTTCATATCTGTTTTGAAGTGTAGTGACGTCCATTTTTTTTGTACAAGTATACATTAATGAATAAGGCCCTGTTCAAGCCTGCTTCTGCGTGTTGAATTATGGATTGTGTTGAAGGCCCATTGGTGGCCTTATTAATAAGCTATTTTCTGTTTTATTTTCAGGTTGTTGTCTCTTGGACACATTCCCAGTTTTACAAATTGTGTAAATTGCCTTTAAAGGGCAACAACTCCTTAATGGGTCAATTGACAATTTTGGACATTTGACTTATTTGTAGATCTTACTTAGCTGTACATTATTGCTGTTTACAGTTTATCTCTATCTATAATAATATTCAAGATAATAACTAAAAACTGCAAAATTTCCTTAAAATTACCAATTCAGGGGCAGCAACCAAACAATGGGTTGTCTAATTCGTCTGAAAATTTCAGGGCAGATAGATCTTGACCTGATGAACAAGTTTATCCCATGTCAGATTTGCTGTAAATGCTTTGGTTTCAGAGATATAAGCCAAAATCTACATTTTACCCCTATGTTCTTTTTTTAGCCATGCGGCCATCTTAGTTGGCAGGCCGGGTCATCAGACACATTTTTAAAACTAGATACCCAAATGATGATTGTGGCCAAGTTTGGTTAAATTTGGCCCAGTAGTTTCAGAGGAGTAGATTTTTGTAAAAGTTATGGGCCAGGTGAGCTAAAAAAAGGAGATGCATTATGCAATTATGTACTGAACTACTTTTAAGATCATTGAAATCCATATATTGATTTAGAAGGGATTCCAAATGGGCTTATATGTCTAATATGGACAGTCGAACCAATAGACAGACAGATATTCCATTACTATATACATCAATGCTATTGTAAGTGTGGTTATTAATATAATTAAAACATAAAATAGTTGTAAAAGTCGACGAAATAGTTACCCTTATATAAACAAAACAGTCAAAAGTTGACTTCAAGAGATGAATTGTGGTCATCAAAGATTAGCAAGAAGTCAAAACATCAACTACGACCTAAATAACACGCTGTGTCCTAACGAGTTATGATAACCCTCAACAGAAATATATCATGAATAAACAATGTGTGAAAAACTTTAAAAGAATGAATTGGACCTAGTTTCAAAAAGATGTGATGACTAAAGTTCACAATCAAATGAATTGTTACATATAAGAATATCACAAAAATAGAATGCTTTTGTTTTTGTTAAATCAAAATTTAACAACCAAAGCACCACCCGTATGAAAAACATGACACGTACTCCAGTCGGACAGTAGCCGTACTGTAGCCGTACTGAGAACCGTACTTATAATATTCATTTGGACTTTTCTTTGAATTGCTTATAATAGATACCCCGGCTGGACTTTCAGCGAAATTAGCCGTAAACCGGCTCGAAATATTTAAATTAGCAGGAGTCCAGTGCATAAAGTCCAGCTGGACTTTAATAAAAGTACGTCTGAAAAAAGATCCAGCCGGCATTTCTGGCAAAAATATAGACTCTATAAAGTTCAGCCGGACTTTACAAAGTCCGGCTGAACTTTAAAAAGTCCAGCTGAACTCTATAAAGTCCAGCTGGACTTCAAAAAGTGCGGTTTGACTTTTAAAGATGATCTCAGCAGGGGTGAATCCAGCTATTTTCAAAAAAGGGGGTTCCTAACTCAGGATAGGGGGAGGGGGTCCAACCATATGTCCCCATTCAAATGCATTGATCGTCAAAATAATGGGGGGTTCCAACCCCTGGAACCCTCCCCCTGGATCTGCCACTGCTCAGTTTTTCTTCAGATGGTTGATTCTTCTGATTTAATTTGCATCATGCATCCCTTGCTATAATCTGAAAATAGAAAAAAAACCAGATGACATTATGCATACTAGTATATACTGGTTATTTCTTTTTCTTTTTTGTACTGTCTTACTGGCAAAACCAAGAAATGGGGAATTGAGAAGCTAAATGATAACTTCTAAAAATTTGTGGTTATTAAATAGCCTAAATAATTTTAAAGTGGCTAAAAATAAAATAAAGTTGGCTTTGAAAATCACTTAAAGTGTAGAAATCAAAAAACTTTCAAAACAACTCAAATAATAACCATTCTTTAATCATGTTAATACAGAGGGAATAAAAAATATATCAATACATTTTTTTACACAACAATTCAAAACAGGAAGTGACAGTGACATAACAGACAAGATGAAAATTATTGCATGAATCTAATCTAATCTAACTTATCTTTAAACCCCCTTTGTAGAGGAACTATATTTTCATATGTAGAGCAGGTGCTCTCTTTAAATGTAAATATTTGATTTAGATTTTTTATTCTTTTTACTCTTCAAAAATAAGAATTAAGCTATTTATAATATTGAAATTATTTTATTAATATGTTGAATAAAAAGAGCATATCAGATAATATCACCAAAATGGTGGAATTCAATTTATTGTACTTACCAGAATTATGCAATCCAAAACACATGCAAACAGCAATCTTCCTAAATTGTCATTGATGCCAGTCAGAAGGATCCATCTTCTCTATTTAATGTGAAAAGAACTACTTCCAAACATCTGCTTTACATCCAATGATATAAAATTCTCATTTTGTTCAAGAAAGAAGACAAATCTTCCTGTTTATTCCAAATTCAAATTGTGTTGTATTGCAATACATGAGGTTGTTTAACATGTTAAGGAGTTGTTTTAAATGTTCCTCTTATGGCTAATTGCATGTGCCTTAATTTTGAATATGTGATATATTAAAAAAAGAAAATCAATTATTAATTTGTTTAATTGTGAAATTTTTAATAAAAGTGATAGTAATTGCAGAAATATGTATTTCGAAATGTTTTCTCCCACATGTGGCCTCAATCTCTGTGGAGATAGTTCTTCCTGTGACCTGTCCAGACTGAGGTTAATTGAAAACAGATGGCAAATTTCTACAAGACTAACTGCTATTAAATCACTGTTATATGGCTCAAGTTTCTAATTGATGTTTAAGAATGAATGATAATTATTAATTTTATGCATTCATCTAATTAAATATAAATAACTAGAAAATGTATAAATTTGACCTGTAACAGATGTTGCTAGTGTTTTTTTTTATGAAAAAAGTAGAAATGTTAAATAATTGCTGTATATTAAACATATTAACTTGGATATAATTCAAACAAAAGTCACCAAAATTAAATTTTAACTTTCCATCAACAGTCTATGTTAAATATTTCATAATGGAATTGAAAATCTAGGGAAAGTATCACATCTTATAGTTTGAACTAAAAGTACATTGCAAAAAAATATTTTATTGTTATTATTAATTACTTGCAAACTTTCATTTTTAACTGTTTTACATTTTGAAAGAATTGTTCCTTTCAAAGAACAGAATCTATTGTGGCAAACTTTTTATTTCTGTAAGGGTAGATTTGGCTGATGAAAATTTTCTAAGTCTAAATTCCTGCTCATAAATGAATGTAAAATTTTCTAAGACAAAAATCCTGCTGATCATTCTACAGAAAGGAATAAATTTCCTCAAAGTCCAGCCGTGTTTATTTTCTTGTAAGCATTACAAAAAGTGCGGTTGGACTTTTAAGAAAATACCGGCTGGCAAATAACCCAAGTATAAGAAAAAGTACGTGTACGGCTCATGTCAGACTGGACTTTTCAAAGTCAGACTGGAATACGTCTCAAGTCCAGCTAGAGTCCAGTTGAACTCCTGTTGAAATTTTCATACGGGCATCACTGCTAATGAAAGATGAAGGACTTGGAATGACATGCATAACTTAAAAAAAAAGATACAGAAGGACTTTTTTATCTAGTTTATTATACAATAATATTATCGTAGATATGGTAAGTATAAATAATCAATCATTGTAAAATATTAATGTTTTGTATGATATTAAAGTATGAAAAGTTTTACAGTAAGAGTTATAGTAATACATATATTAACAATTATCTAATCACAACAAAATATAACAAGTATATATAAAATTAGTAACAATGTATAACCAATAAATGCTAGATATAAAAAAAAACCATGCAGTTTTCATGAAAAGGAGATGTGGTTTAATTGCCAATTGAGACAACTTTATATCCACCCCAGAACAAAGGATGAGGATGTACGTAAACAACTCTAGGTTATGAGCTATGAATGTTTGTATAGCAATAAATTACATAACAATTTATTGGCACATTTTTCTTTAACAATAAACTCAAAATATACCAAGAATTAAAAAAAAAAATGGGTATTTAAGCAAAACTTACAGTCACTGAAAATTGTTAATACTATTGGCACCTTTTGGTACCGTGAGCACTTAGCACAGTAAAAAAATTGAACTTACTAAATGAACATTATATGATTTATACAAAGTCCTCAGAAATGGTCCTGATTATTTTTAACTGTAATTTGTTCCATGTTTGACTAGACTAATTCTGGATTGTAAATACTAAAGGTCCATTTATATTTTGTTGTAATGTTGTACTTATATTTGAGTGTCTGTTGTTTATACTGTACATATTTCTCCTTTGGTCAGTGGATGTGTGTTTTGTAATAATAAAAAGTATATAACGCCTGAGTAAACATCTAGAAAAACAGTTACCTCCTTGCAAAAATCTTTTGACCTGACATTTAAAATCTGTCTGAGTAAGTCCTTAATTCCAACTTGCCCAAATATGTGCCCAATGAACAAAATCCTCAAAGTCACACATAATGAACTCCATTAGTTCATTTAATTCAAGCAATACTTTAATTATCCCGATTTGCTTTAGAACTCATGATATGTAAAATTAAGCATTTAGTACTCATATCAACAATATAATCAACATAATTCAAAGTACTGCTCTATCCCATTATAAATAAAATTCTGTGTAAATACATGTATTGTGTAGCAGTGCTAGTGGTATCCAGGTTTGAATGAAACATAAATCATAAATACTACAAACTGCTCAGAGTCTGAAAAGACCATATTTTACTGGTCGAGCACAGATTTTACTTGACAAGACTCGACATAATCTCGACAGTACTTAACTGTACTCGACTTTACTTAAAAACTCTGATTGAGTACTTGATAATCTTGGTATAGTCTGAATATGGTCTCGACAAATGCTTGACCAGTCTCGACTCCGTCTTGACCTTTAAATTTAGTCTAGACTGGTCTGAATCAGCCCATCTAACTCAATTATATATTGATCTTACAAAATTCCAGGTTATTTGGTAGTTGGTTCATTGCTGTCAAATTAAAGGATTTAATTACTAGGTAAAAAAAGCTAGAAAATTTTCAGTTCTGATTAAATTCAGATAGTCACCTTTAATCATTTCTATAACTTTTTTAAATCAACTTGGATTTTCATAAAACTTTGCAGCTATCTCTATTATATATTGATCTTACAGAATGCCAGGTTGTTTGGTAGTTTGGTTTTAAATGTAACAGTTTGCCAAGACATAGATACTTATGAGAAACTATACAATGACTTATTCAACAATCAATATAATCCAGATCTGAAACCAGTTTTAAATGTTACCATGACAATTACTATAGCTTTTTTCAATCTTGGATTAAATCACTTTGATGAAGTTGTTGGAATATTATCTGTATATTGGGGCTTGGAGATTTCATGGTTTGATAATTCTTTGAAATGGAACCCAAAGGAGTCTTCAATGGCATATCAGAAAAGTTGGTTTCTAAATCAGTTACTGTAAATTCAGAAATTATTGCGAGGTTTTTATTAATGCGAATAATGTGACTGAGTGAATATCGCAATAATAAGAACTCGCATTCTGATATCGGACACATATATATATGCATGAAGCTTTTCTTGAAATCGCAATAATAAATCTGGCATTTTTGTTCAGTCTTCAAAAATCGCAATAATAAATGCACGCAAAAATTTCTGAATTTACAGTATATGGTTTCCACATGTAACACTAATGACAGACGCACAGCAATTTCAATCATTCAGTGCCAATAGTTTATTCAAAATACTGATTCGTCATGATGGATTTATATATTGACACCTGCAGACATAATTAATTCTAAATGTGCAGCTTATATAAGAAAATTTCCCTATGACGAACAAGAGTGCTCAATTCTATTTATGGCATGGGATATTACGTGGAAAACTCATCTCCAAGCAGCATCAATTCCCTACAATGACTATTATGAAAACAAGCACCCAGACTGAAATATAAAAAGTGTAATTTCGAGGAAGTGTAAAATTTTTGGTAATACTTCTCATGAATTTGTTTTTAAAATAAGGTGAGAACCACTATACTATAACATATTGGTATTTTTACCTGTGGCTCTACTTTCACTACTAAATCTGCTAGTGTTTTTACTTCCACACTAATGTGGCGAAAAACTTTGCTATGGAATAACAATACTCTTATCGTTTGTTATCTTCTTGACCCTAGCCTCTGACAAGATCCCTGCCACATCAAATCCTATATCAATTTTGATTGTATTTATCATTATGGTTTTCGTAGCAAGTGCTGTCATAACATTCTTGAATATTATTAACGCATATTTATTTTATAAAAGCGACTGAATTAAAAGGATTTTTTAAGCACATGTATGTTATATTTAAAAAACAGAAAAAATCAAGTAATTCCAGAAGAAAAATATAGAATTAACTATAAAGACATAGCCATAGGTATAGATATACTATTCTATATCACAATGTTAACTTTCATCACAGTGTATTTTATTGTACTACAGTACTGAGATTTATAGTTGTGCAATTAAATTTGTAAAAAAAAACTTGAACATTAAATACATTGTATATTTTGTGCATAAACCTATATATATTCTTAAATAAGTGACTTATAGGTCCAATGGGCCGGGGATAACATTGACTTCTTTGTAGCCGTTTTATTTTTTAATAAACATGTTCACAAGTCACTATAATAAACAAATGACTCCCTTTATGTCTACTGTATACTGTAAATTCATAAATAGTTGCAAGGTTTTTATCAATGTACACAATGCGACTGGGTGAGTATTGCAAAAAATAGAACTCACATTTTGAAATCAATTTATGCAGCTTTTCCTGTAATCACAATAATTATTCTCACAATTTGGTCTGTTTATTCTGTTATGTCGAAATAGCAATTACAAATGCATGCAATAATTTCTGAATTTACAGTATACCTTTAAATCTGGCAAATTAGTCTGCCATAAGTATTAACAGAATTGACCTTATTACTTTTACGTCAAATAAATTAGTTGCTCTTATGTCTTAATTTACACTTCATATATACATTGGCAGACTATCAAAATATGAAAGTTTAATACAAGTCAATGAAGTGTGCTGTCTTTGCTAAATTTCAGTTGCAGTACTACCATAATCATATCAAATAGGGTTCTATGGACATTATACACTTATTGTAACAGATCCTAAGTGTTATCATTCTTAGTATTGAATTGTCAAATCATTAAAGTATTGTCTCTAATTCTTTAACAAGGAATTAGATAAATGTCATTCTTTGTCCATATTGATAAATGGAAAAGTCAACAGTCACTTACTTATACAGAAGAAAAAATTTTGCTGGTATTGTAGCTACATGTACTATCTTTTCTACACAGTAATATAAGTACAAGTATCATGTGGCACACTAAAACCCACATAGGGATTTTCAAAATTTTGCAGGTAGGAAAATTTAACTATTTCAAGTACATAGATATCATTAAGTAATTTAGTATTAAGAAAGAATCTATAAATATTTGATGAAAAACCATCAGAGGTTAAAATTTTAGAAACAAATAAAAAATATTTTACACAATACAATTCAACAACAACAAAAAAAGAAGAATGTGTCTGAGGACTTGAATGCCCCTGCTCAAGTTTTGTAATTTTCCAAGTTAAAAAGGGGCATAACTCTAGAACGGTTGATGACTCACTGCCAAAATTTGAACTATGTCTGCTTGTTGCAATTCTGAGCATTGTGTATGAGTTTCATAAAATTTGTATCAGTAAAATTCAAGTTAGAGTGTGGAAACGAAAATGGGATGGATGGACGGATGGAAGGATAACACTTAATTCCCCCATTGACTTGCAGCCCCCAGAAGCTGAACAATTAAGGCAAAATTCAATAGTTTACTAATTTAATGTAATTATCACGAAAATATCTTAAGGATACCAGAATATGTGCAAATGTATAGACATGATAATAACTGATTCAAAAGATGAGTACACCGTACAGTTCCCTATAATTGCTTACGTCCACTTCATTTGAACTTGGGCGGATAATTGTCTCATTGGCAATCATACCCAGTCTGTTTAAAACCAACCCCAACTATCCACTTGCGTTTGTTGTACATACGCAAGTGGATAGTGCGGGCCGGTTTTAATCAGACTGAATCATACCAAGTCTCCTTATTTTCATATTCTACTGTATAAGTTTCACATGGATAGATATATCATCTGACAATCAATTGCAGACATCAAAATTGTATAGTAAGAATGAGAATTAGTGATCATATGTGTGTATAATCTACAGGTAATTACTTCAACCCTTGGTTTTAAACTGGAATTTCAATGGAATTTTTAAATGCATTGTATTAATACAAGGGTTCAGTTCTCAGATTATGTAATGTTCATTCAAATTTACTTTATAAGATATGATATATTAAATTGCTATTGATATTAATATTTTTATATCAATTCAACTTTAATCTCAAATATTGTATAGAAATTCCAATAGGGAATACATTTAGTTTAGAAGGATAATAAAGACACAGAAGAAGGACAGTGGCCCGAAATGTCGTAATTTTTTTTTTTTTAATTAATTGTTATTTAAAAGGTAAATGGGCCACAAATCCATGGTCAAGTAATGCATCAAATGAAGAACATGTAAAACATGTTCTCTTAATTCCAGTTGAATAACTTATCAAATGTGGTGCATGTGTTTTAATCATTACTAATCTGAAAGCTGGCTAAATCATGAAAAGCATAAAATTATGCATATATGTGGAGAAAGATGAACATACTAGAAACATTTATTTCAAGCAGAAAAGAAGAAAATTGTATTGAAGTAAAATTTTGATTCATATATATTTTCTAAAGTGTGGATTATTAGGTTTGGAAAAATAATGATGCAACCAAAAGACAAAAAGACACCATATCTGCAGCTGCCGGAAAAATAATTGCCACATCAGCAGATCTTCTAAAGTGACTTTTTTTTCAATGGAAACATTTTTTTTTATCATCAACCTTACATATACACTGATGAAAACCTACTTTGTCAATGTGGGACTATAAAATCTATTAGCACCAAAAGCTTAAAAATTATTTGCTCCAAAACTAAGGCCATATAGGAAAGTTTTGCATTATGCAACCTGACTGAATCATAAAGCTGATAAAGAAGATACAAAGTAGTTAGTATTTTGGTTTTAAAATAATTTCCTCTCCTAACATATGAAGAAGACACATGACAGCTTTAGAACGGTCATATCGTTGATCAGAGAAGCTTGACTCATATTCCATCATTTTGTTACAGACTTCGGTCATGGTTGGAAGTAGATCAATGTCTTGTTTATTGTCGATCTTCTTTTTGAACACATTGTACATAGCGGTCAACAATGCACCACCTGCATCTTCTGACCAAGCTATATGCCCTGAAAAGAAATGGACATATATCTTTAATTATAAATAATGTGAGTAATGCTGATATTTAATATGACAGATACTGTTTTATTTTTCTTTTGAATTCTCGAAATGTAATTCATAAAGAACACATTTTTTGTGATAATCAGAGTAAAAACTGCAATGAACTTAAGAGGTGTGCCTGGTAACATCAAAACATACATGGTTCATGAATGTTTGACTAAATTTTATCTTTCAATCCAAAACATGATAGGATATATATGTTGTCAAAGTAGCAGCTGAAAGCTTAATGTACTTGATGCAGTTCTCAGTGATAGATTTAAAAACTAATACTTGCTGCAAAAAACATAGATGAATTTGTATCCTTAATTGATTTTGCATAAGACTTGTAATAATACCTGCAGTGCTAGCAAAAGTAACCATAAAATCTTGATAACAAGGTGTCAGTAGCATGTCTTTCATTGTGACTCTATCGTATACAATGTTGGTGACATCTTCATTTGTCTCTTCCTTGTGATGTACATCCATTGTGGATCTATTGAAGAAGTCTCTTGTCTGTCTTATGTCTTGTTTTTGTGTAACCTGAATATCGACTCCTTTGTCGACTGTCTTGTCAGCTCTAGATCGACAGGCCTGGAACATAAGTTTTAAAAAATCTTTATGTAAAAGAAAATATCCAATTTCAAATAAGCAGTTTTTAAATACATATTAATTTCTTGTTCAATGACTTTGATGTAGAGTATATATTATTTCAGTTCCTCTAAAAACTGACAGGCTGAGTGATTGATTGTTGGTTAAATTATTCCTAATATAAATATCTACTTATACATTACGTTTTAGTGTATAAGCAATAATTTTAAAAAATATGAAAGCAAATTTATATGTTAACTAGAAGGAATAAATTATCATTGTCTGTCAATCCTGATGACAGATCTGTCTAAATAATCAACAGAAAATATAATAGCTTTAGTTTTAATAAAATAAAATGGTAGCATGCAATCTCTACAACAGCTGATATTTGTTTACATGCATGTGCAATGTTGATATGTTTTTCAAAGTATAACTATGTAATAAACATAAAAGGCTGAACAAGAAAAAACAAACCAAAGACTGGTCAACTATTCTGATATATATATACAAAGCAATCAGTATTTAGTATTAAGACATATGAAATACTTTCATTCTAGTGTCCTGGAAGTGGAATTATAGAAAGACAATGTCTTTAAGATTTAAAACAACAAATTCTAATATGACGTCCTTCTTTCGCTTTGGAAACAGAGCCATGTTCTAATTACAATAAAACATGAGCTGCATGTGATTGAAGTCACAATTGATATTGCAACGTCAGTTGTATTTTGAACAACGCCAGAGGTCGAAATGGACAGTTTTTTTTATGTTGCTCGCTAGGAAATTAAATAAAATCATTCTAAAAGTAAGTTTACATACTATATGTTAATTTTTTTATCGTTCAACTGTTGATTTTCTATAACGTTTTAGGTTCATCAAATCAAAATGGCTGCCTTTTGAAAGTGTATTATAGGTCCGCTTCAAAGTACAAAAGCTCTAAATATTCCTATCAGAATCAAAATAATTCTATCATGGCATGCTTTATGCTAATTTTAACATGGGTAGGCATTATATTTGTCACTATTTTACACCTCGCTAACGCTTGGTATAAAGATATTGACAAATATAATGTCTACCCATGTTAAAATGAGCATAAAGCATGGCATGAAAAAATTATTTCTTAATTATGGACATTGTCACCTGTATGAATACAAGTTTTGGTTTTCCTTCCATGTATGGACAGCTGTCAACATCAAATATCTCTAATATTTCATTTGTAGGAATCATGCCATCGTATGTACTGATGGTATGTCCATAAACATTGATATCATGGGGAATATTCTCTGGTCTGTTTGGTCTTCCCAGCATTACTTCTCCTCCATGTGATGAAATAACAATTACTAAACACTTCTTTTGTTCTAATGTTGGGTCATCAGCACCTGAAAACAAACTTTAATAAAATGCTCCGCTGGGCGCAGCTTGATACGACTGCAGAGGTCGAACGCTGAACAGTTGGGGCAAGTATGGACACAACATTCAAGCTTGATACAGCACTGAATTTGGATTGTGATTAAATATTTGACACAACATAGGTTTCTGACACAGAATGAATGTGGTCTAAGAACTTAAAAAATTTTAATTTACCTATTCAAACCATATCATTATTATTTGCTTTTATATATAAATCAGAAATAACCAATTTAAAATGGAAAATTTTAAAGAAAAAAAAGGTAAAAAAATCCCCCCTCAAATTTTTTGAACCCCCTTATGATTCATCACCCCCAAACTCAATCCCAGCCTTTCCTTTGTGGTATGGTACCTTGCAGTACAATTTCAGAGAGATCCGTACACTTGAACACAAGTTATTGTCTGGAAACTAGAAAAATGCTTGTTTTTTGGCCCCTTTTTGGCCCCAAATTCCTAAACGTTTAGGGCAATTACCCCCAAACTCAAACCCAGCTTTCCCTTTGTGATATGGAACCTTGTAGTACAATTTCATAAAGATCCATACATTCACACAAGTTATTGTCCTGAAACTAGAAAAATGCTTGTTTTTTTGCCCCTTTTTGGCCCCTAATTCCTAAAATTTTGAGGCAATTACCCCCAAAATCAATCCCAGCCTTCCCTTTGTGGTATGGTACCTTGCAGTACAATTTCAGAGAGATCCATACACTTGAACACAAGTAATTGTCTGGAAACTAGAAAAATGCTTATTTTTGGCCCCTTATTCCTAAACGTTTTGGGCAATTACCCCCAAACTCAATTCCAGCTTTCCCTTTGTGATATGGAACCTTTTAGTACAATTTCAGAAAGATCCATACACTTACACACAAGTTATTGTCATGAAACTAGAAAAATGCTTGTTTTTTGCCCCTAATTCCTAAATTTTGGAGGCAATTACCCCCAAAATCAATCCCAGCATTTCCTGTGTGATATGGAACCTTGTGGTACAATGTCAGAGAGATCCATACACTAACACACAAGTTATGTCTGGAAGTTACAAAAATGCTTATTTTTGGCCCCTTTTTGGCCCCTAATTTCTTAACAGTTGGTACCATAGCCCCCAAAATCAATCTCAACCTTCCTTTTGTGGTATTGAACCTTATAATAAAATTTCATAGAGATCCATTCACTTAAACTAAAGTTAGAGTGCGAAAACCAATGTGTCTTCGGACGACGACGACGACGCCAACGTCATACCAATTTACGACCGCAAAATTTTTTTGCGGTCGTATAAAAACTACATACATGTACATTGTTACAGGTCGTTTCGAATTAATTACAAGAAAAATTACTACAAATATTTTAAAATTCAAGAAAATGATGTTAGTTAAAAAATGAATTTTTGAAAAGAATGTTTAAAAAAAAAACAAGATGTACTGTACGGGATTTCTCACTGATGTTACCCTGCTTTAAGTTTTTTGTAAACAGTAACTTCAACTGTTAATGAGCAACAGACCTGCCAATTATCCTGATTTATGGATGAATTTTGAAATTCTTTTTTTATAAACTGAACATCTCAAAACAGGCATTCAAATGAGTTAAAATAGTATTTAAGCTCATACATACTCATTCAAACAATATAGTAGTAGATTAAAAACACTTATGACAATAAAAGAGGAGCATAAGTTTCTCTTGCTCTTAAAATCCCCAATGAAGATTTTGAAAAGATGGCAGGAAAGGCTCAGCAATGAATATGAAAATGCATCACAGCATGCTCACATGAAGCTTGAAGGTCTAATTTGTAGTTCCTGAGAAAAATAGAATGAAAATTTCATAAGATGGGTGTAGGGAGGGACAGACAGAGATTATCAAGTCTTCCTTAAGACCATTGGTATTCAAAAATGAAATTTAAGCTATCAAGTGACAATGACTTCTCTGATGTTTAACACATTTAAATTACATTTAATGAGAAAAATTATGCTGTTTAAATATTTTTTTGTGAGTTTGACTTCTTAAATTTTTTTTGTCTCAAACATGTCATGTGTATGTAATGAAGTTCATTCCAGAAACATGTGTCATGCACACTGAAATCAATCATATATTCATATTACTAACACTGAGTCAGTACCATCTGCCAAGTAGCTAATGCTTCGGTACCGTAAATTATCAGTTTACAAATAATTTAATTGTGAAAGCAATTTTTAACAACAACACTTTGGGGATTGTTGCAGTAACTTAATTAGATTGACATGTTTCTGTGCTTAGGGCACTGTCATCAGGGGATTGTTGCAGTAATTCAATTAGATTGACATGTTTCTGTGCTTAGGGCACCGTCATCAGGGGATTGTTGCCGTAACTTAATTAGATTGACATGTTTCTGTGCTTAGGGCACCATCATCAGGGGATTGTTGCAGTAATTTAATTAGATTGACATGTTTCTGTGCTTAGGGCACCGTCATCAGGGGATTGTTGCGGTAACTTACTTATATTGACATGTTTCTGTGCTTAGGGTACCATCATCAGGGGATTGTTGCAGTAATTTAATTAGATTGACATGTTTCTGTGCTTAGGGCACCGTCATCAGGATGGTCTAGGCACCGAAGCATGTTGATCTAGTTGATCTAATTAAATTACTGCAGCAATCCCTAAAGTGTTGTTGTTATAACTGCTTTCACATTTTGTGTTTTTTATTGTAATAACCCTGCATACCCAAGGTATCCACTTTAGGGATTCTATCATATTGAAGATTTATCAGGTGTTGGTTCACTGTTGTTTGTAAATAATTTATTTGTACTAAAGCTTTGTAGATTTTGTCTCTATCAGACACATTTAGACAGTTATATCTGTTCTGTTTAGGTTGTTTTGACTTTTCTCCTCTCAATGTTTTTTTGTATTAGTCTTCTCAATGGCTTTGATATATATTTCCAGCTTTCAATTAGGTAATAAAACTTACATTTAATTAATTCATTTTTTAAACCTTCAGTAGTTCTATTTGCAAACGGTTCCCATCGAAGTTCAAAATTTAAGTTGTAAAAGATTTCAAACATATTTCTTAGATCTGTTTCTGCACCAATTCTGAGAAGACCATTCCCTTTTGCAAATTTCTGTCCTGTGATTATAAGAGCTAAGCCTGGTTTGGTATTATTTTCATCAGGGGAGATAACCGTAGTCAAGTTTACAGACAGGTTTGGCCTTTGTTGTAAGTTAGCTCCCATTTCACCCAATGCTTGTAAAGGGTCAGAAGTTTGAGAACTGCTAGCTATCATGGCTTTTCCTATGTCTTTGTAAACAACTCTTGTAGATGAATCATTCTTTCCTTCATTTCTATCATCACTCTCTCTTCCTGAATCTTTTGGAGTTTTGGCCTCTGTAATGGTTGATAGCTGTGGGTAATCTTCTGAACCCCCAGCAGGAATCACAGTTGCTGTGTATGTTCGGGACCTATCACTTTTACTGATGCCAAAAAATCTATAAAAGATGTTCATATGGTTAATTCATATATATATAAACATATCTTGAACCAAAAAAACAAGAATTTATCTACAGACTTTTATTTTTCTAACTCTACAAATCAAGAATAATTGATTTCTACTTACAAAGGAATCTAATGACAACATATGAGTTTTAATGCATCAAGTCTTAGGAAAAGTTTCTGACAACTTGCAATTTGAAGTAAAAAAGTCTACTTGAATTCCTTACTATAGATATAAATATCATGTGTATATACATCTATTTGACTATATGACATATTTTTAATTGATACTATCTCTAGAAGTATAAATGCTATATATATGATATTCAGATCCAGTTCAATGAGTTATAATTCATGCATATAAAACTCATAAAATCTGAAATACCTCCTTGTTATGTACATGTATTATGCCTTATGACATTTCACTATGGTAATAACTTTCCTTAGATAAAAAAAATGTAAATACATTAAGCAACTAAATGCTTAACAAAAACTATTTAGATTATGATAAATTAAGCATTGAAATAGCATTAGTATAACAATTTACTTCTGACATTCTACAAAAAAAAATGAGCTCAACAGCAATATATATTTAATTCAAATTTGTGTTCACAGTAACAAATAACAATTGTTTGATTTGGGGGGGAACAAATGTCAAGAATGTATAAAAAAAAAAAAGGCGTTCAATTAAGTTTCTCACATCAACTTTAATCATGAAATGTTTCATTTTAATTTTAATATCCATTTGCAAGCAAAACAAGTTTTAAAATGAATGGCCTGATAGTTCTCAATTTTCTTTTTTTGGTACATGTACTATTTATATGCAAACCTGACCTTTAACTTTGCATACTTAAACTAATTTGCTTCTAGAATTTAAAAGACAAAACTTGCAGGTAAGTGCTTATGGGAAGTTTCTATTTGAAATCAAAAAGTTTACAGAGATATTACTTCTCAATTACTGGTGATTTGTTCAAACAAATGTCAAACCATTACAAAAAATTCACTGATATTAGTACCTACATTTTTATGTTTTTTCCTAATCCATCTGAAAAATAAACATAGATATTCACAATGTAAAAAACTTATTACATATTAAAAGTAAAGAAAAGTAATTAAACCTTCACAAAAGTATCATGGTATATATGACTTAGTCATTAATTACAGTATATAAGATAATCAACTGACTGACAATGGACAGAAGTAAAATGTTTTATTGATAATCTGTATATTGATATTTACAACAAAAGACAGAGTGTGATATGGGCCATTTTGAAGCTATAACAGATTGGAATAAATTACCTAAACCAATACACCTTATCGCTATTTATTCCCATCTGGATTAGTTCCAAAATTACACAACTCTTTCAAACCAGTTGAAGGTATCTGGGGCCCTGTTCAAACAATGTACTGTGCATAAAAAATTTCAAAGAGTATAATGTTTAAACCATTGTAAACACTTCAAACAAAGCATTTTTCTTACTTTAATGTGTGTTTAAAAAATTGGATCATAAACTATACAAATTTTACAATGTTCACTTTCTACACCTTATCCTCCCTCAGCTCATTATTGATGACCTTTGTTTTTGTAGCACTTGACCCAAACAGGAAGTTATCTAAATGACTGTTTTTTACGGAATGGACTAAATAGCGATAAGGTGTATAGCCAGCACCACTACTGAGTGCTTCAAGGAGAAACTCACCAGAGAAATTCTCCTTTTCACTTTAATACCAGAGACATATTTATACAGTGTGTATATGTCTCTGCACTTATTAGTAACAGAACAAAGGTAACAAAAAAACAGGCTGGTAACAACTGTTGCCGTATAGTTTTTCTGCACGAGTAGTTAGGTGGTATGAATCAGATGTGGATACTAAAAAATTCCAAAGATCTTTTAGAGTACATACAATCTAAGACTCTTTCATCTTGCATCATTTGACTTTTCTACCAACAAAAAATTCTCTGAAACTGACATTATCAAGATGCTTGATTGCTTGAGTTTATTTTTGACTTATGAGTTTGAATATCCCTCTGGTATCTTTCGCCTCTCTTTTTCATATAAATTATATTTATAAAACAAGGTAATTAGGTCACAAAGGTGTACGATAAAGTGCCTATGAACTCACTGAATGCACGAGTGACTCTATTCATAAAAAGTGTCTTGTGTAACTTCATAAAAAGTGTCTGTGTAACACCCATTATTGTACTGTTTTTCTATAGCTCTGCTGAGGGCAAAGTCATACAATTACCAATACCTACATGCATCATCTATATCTTGTTTTTATCTTATAACAAAAAATTTAAAAAAAATAAAAATTGAAATATATTACTTAAAAATATATAAATTGATAAATTAATGTGAAATTTAGAAAAATAAATTTGTAATTATTAACAATACTGCTAAACCAGGCATGCACCAGAAAGTAATCATCAACCAGTTGATGTTTTTCTGTATATATCAGGTCAGATCATATGTTTTTTTACGTCATATGAATCGTACTATGCATGCTTTTTCAATGGAAATTGTGATGTCACAATGCATTCTTAATAGTAGAAAACCCACGAGACGAGGATAAAAAAGAAGAGAAAGATCTTCATTTTTCACTTGGGGTTCGTGTGGATAGTAGAAAGGCTAGTTATGGGTTTGTGAGACTTTTTATGTGTCTACAATATAAGAAAAAGAGGTCTATGCCCCAAATACCTGTGCTCTCTACAAAAAAATGGATTTACCTGTGATTTTCTATGTTATAAAAAAGAACAATCCAAACTTACGGTTCATGTGGACCCTTTGGCTAAAATGGCCGCACTTTCACCTCAAAATTTATTCTGAGTACAGACAAACCTGTGTATCTGGGAAAGTTTTAAGGCATAGCATGCCCTAGATAAATAAAATTCAAATATATTTTTTTTAAAAATTAAAAACTTAACAGGATTTTGCAGTGCACTTTTTTTCATTCCTCCAGAAGGTGCCAAAATAAACTAATTTGGGAAAGAGGTTTGAGAACTTCCCCACAGGTAATTGTATTGATAACTGTATTGATTGACATAGACCATAGATGGACAATAGATACCTGACAATAATTGGTGATTTAAATTGTGTACCTGAGTGGACCATATCAAGTGAAAGATTTAGCAAAAGAAATATCACCAATTCTAACAACCATCTTTAATGCATCAATTAAACAAGGCAAAATACCAGATCAATGGAAAGAGGCTTTAATAACACCATTATTTAAAAATGGAGACAGAGGGAAAGCATCAAACTATCGTCCTGTATCCCTGACGTCGATTTGTAGCAAGATCATGGAACATATACTGCATAGTAACATCATCAGTCATCTTGAGGCAAATAACATCCTGTCTGAAAATCAACACGGTTTCCGCAAAAACAGATCATGTGAGAGCCAGCTTGCTATTACTATACAAGATCTAGCAGATGGACTCAACAGTGGGGATCAAATGGATTGTGTACTGCAAGACTTTTCAAAAGCGTTTGACAAAGTGCCACACCAACGCCTGTTAAACAAATGCAGATACTATGGTATACAAGGGAATACACTTCAATGGATAGCTAGTTTCTATCAGGGCTGAACACAACAGGTTGTCTTAGATGAAAAGAAGTCAGAAACATCAGACGTAACATCTGGAGTTCCCCAAGGAACTGTAATGGGGCCTCTTCTCTTTCTTATCTACTTAAATGACCTGCCAGAACTAGTAACATCTAAAGCTAGATTATTTGCAGATGATTGTTAACATGTACTTTACAGAAAGATATGTAAAGAGGAAGATACCATCTAACTCCAGAAAGACCTAGACAATCTACAGAAATGGGAGGACACATGGCTCATGCAATTCAACCCTGACAAATGCGAGGTACTACAGGTAACCAACAAAAGAAAACCAGTTACCACAAACTACACCATACATGGAAAGACATTAGAAGTAGTGAAGAATGCTAAATACCTAGGCCTTAATATTAGCCACAATTTATCATGGATCTATCATATAGGTACAGTAACCAAGAAAGCAAACAACATCAATTCTTTCTTGAGAAGAAATATCAGCTCCTGTCCAAATAAGATCAAGGCACAATGTTATACCACACTAGTAAGACCAATTATAGAGTATGCTTGTATCATTTGGGACCCAAAAACATCAGAGAATTAGAAATGGTGCAGAGAAGAGCAGCACGTTTTGTAACTGGTGACTACAGAACCACCAGTAGTGTAACCCAGATGCTTAAAGCCCTGCAATGGGTCGAATTACAAGAATGCAGAAAGAGAGTAAAGACCATCATGCTCTACCGCATAATACACCATCTTGTTGCAATACCACCAGAGCAATACTTAATACCGAGGGGTGTAGCATTAACAACAAGAGGACCTGACACCAGATTCCTGACTACCCTACTCGAGAATACAAAACCACCAGCAATCATTTTTTCCATCTGCAATTCGTCTGTGGAATGAACTACCATCTGCTATAATTACAGCGTCCACATTGGAAGGATTCAAAGACAGCCTCCAGACACCTGCTTCATGTTAAACATTTCAGTTTAAATTGTATATAACACCACGATGGCTTTTAACTGGATTTGTGTACATAGTATGTTGGAAAGATGTTTCCTTTGGGCATGTGTATATAAATAGTCATTTGCGATACTACACCAGAGGTGGTATGCAAATTATTGGAAGAAGAAGAAGAAGAAGTGAAACTCAACTGTTTGTTAATTTTATCATCTTCTGCAGGGACGAAAGAAAGTGCACGGCAAAATCCAGATAAGTTTAAAATTTTCTAAAACATACAATGCATTTGAATTTTATTTATCTAGGACATGCTATGCCTTAAAACTTTTCCAGATGTACAGGTTTGTCTGTACTCAGAGTAAATTTTGAGGTGAAAACGTAGTCCAAATAATTATGACGTCTTGCAAGGTTATTCTTAAAATAGCCTTGCAAGACGTCATAATATTAATTGGACTAGTGAAAACGCAGCCATTTTAGCCAAAGCCAAAGGGTCCTCATAACCTTAAAATAAAGATCCTATTTCATACCCATTGAGCTATCGGTTTTATATTTGCAATGAACTTGTGATATTTCATCCTTTCCGTCAATTTTGTCGGTTGTACTGTCATCCATTGCTTCGATCTTTCGAAGAAAATTTTAAAATCCAAAGCGAAAGTGAAGGCGGAAAGGGAACGACAGCCAAAGTTCTCGCCAGATTGTTTTGTCAAAGAGCACAAAGAGATATGTCTAAAAACAACAAATAACCATTACATCCATAATTACAAACACAAAAACAAAAGAGAAACACACAAACAATAGACATGATAAATAAACTACATGACAATCTAATGAAGGAAAGATTCCATAAGTCTATATTACATGATAGAATAAATTCTAAATTTCATTTATAACTATTTCATAATTGAACGACTGTTTTAACAGTGAAAAATAAGGGGGGGGGGGGGGGGGGGGGGGGGGGGGGTATGTGTTTTTGCTACAAAAATATTCTGATTCCCAAGTTTGAAGAGAATAAATTTTTGATCAGGGAGACAGAGAAAAAATTCTGACAGAAATTTAACCTTAAAATCTTATGTTTAATTCTTTAAAAAAAATCTTGATCTGCGAGGCAATACTGACTTCATAACTAAACAATTTGGAGGTTATCCCCTTTGTTGGTATCTCAAAAAAATCTCAGAATGAAAAAAACATAATTTACTCTTTGTTCTGCAAATATATATACATGGCAACGTCAAATAAGTGAACATGACTGTTAATGATGTCTTTACACTAAATCCATTGGATGTTGGATGTGTACTGATTGATATTCCAGTCTTAGATGCATGATTTTTTATTAGTTGTCATTGTCTTTGAGCTAGCTGTTAGTAACTGCAAGAACTCTCAGGTCTGTACTTAGTGTCTTTTTTATTGTGGGGATGTATAAATACCCTTCCACGTCAGGTCTGTGTTTTTGTTAGATGTCTTTCTACTTTGTATCGATCTGATGAGTTAAGCCCTTTTCAACTGATTATTTTTAGTTTGTTCTTATGTTGTACTGTTACACCACTATCTCAGGTTAGGTGAAGGGTTTGGCGCCAACAAACTAGTTTAATCCCGCCACATTCCTTATGTGCCTGTCCCAAGTCAGGAGCCTGTAATTCAGTAGTTGTCGTTCACTTGCTGTTTCTCATATTTGTTTTGCATAGTTTGTTCTTGTGTTCTGCTGTTACACCACTGTCCCAGGTGAGGGGGAGGGTTAACGCCTTCAAACTAGTTTAACCCCGCCGCATTCTGTATGTGCCTGTCCCCAAGTCAGGGGCCTATGTAAATCAGTGGTTGTCGTTTTTTGCTGTATATCATATTTGTTTTTCTTTCATTGTTTTGTAAATAAATCAGGACGTGAGTTTTCTCGTTTGGATTGTTTTACATTTGTCATTACGGGGCCTTTTAAAGCTGCAGACTATGCGGTATGGGTTTTGTTCATTGTTGAAGACCGTACAATGACCTATAGTTGTTAACTTCAAACAAAACACAAAACAAGAGACACAACGTTGCCTGTAACTCTCACCTGGTGGAAAAAAATCGCCAGTTTGCTAATGAGGACTTGTATATGCAAATACTATTATATAGTTACTCTTTGTGCTGCTGATCTTTTTTTGCAATTTATATGTTTAACCTAGCTCCTATAGTTTTTTAGATAAACATATCAGGAGCAATATCACCAAAATGGGTTGTCAAAAATACCAGAGCAAATAGATCTTGTCATGCTGATCATTTTTACAGTTTATACTTTTAACCTAGCTCCTATAGTTTTCAAAGTTACAGTAAAAAATATGTACAAAATTGGGAAAATGTATATTTCAGGGGCTAAAGGTTAATAGATCTTGTCCTGCTGATCATGTTTATAATTTTACTTGTTTAACCTTGCTAGCTCCTATAGGATATTGTTCACAATAACAGCCAAAAACTGCCAAAATAAATGTATTATTGCAGGGCAATAACTCCAAAACAGGTCAACAGATTTATCTCCAATTTTCACGGTAGATATATTTTGTGGTACTGAACCTTTTTGCATTTTACACTTTTAACCTAGCTCCTATAGTTTTTTGATAACAGTCAACAACTGTAACCTGAATAATTAAGTCGTTATTTTTCGGCTGCTCTACCGGATGGCTATATTAGTTAGTGGGAGAGTCGATCACAGAGAGAGACTGATTTTCTCTATTTATAGAGGTTTTCAAGATAATAGACAAATTCCTCTTTACCTCTATGTTCTACATTTAACCATGTTGGCCATGTTGGTTGGCAGGTGGGGTCATCAGACACATTTTGTAAACTATATACCATAATGATAGTTGTTAAAAACTAGATACCATAATGATAGTTGTTAAAAACTAGATACCATAATGATAGTTGTTAAAAACTAGATACCATAATGATAGTTGTTAAATTTGGCCTAGCAGTTTCAGAGGAGAATTATTGTATAAAAGTTCATGGACAGCGAGAAATGCCAAGTGAGGAGAAAAGCTCATTTGAACCTAAGTTGGAACAGGTGAGGTAAAAAAAGAGAAAACTGATGGTCAAGTAGGTTCCCGCTTGCACATAAACAAATATAAATTCTGATACAAACAGCAATATATTTAATCGGGTTTCTAGTTTCAGGAATTTAGTCACCAGGAACAAATTTAGGATATGTCCTATGTAAATATAAAATGTCTTACATTAAACCTAAACTACTTAACGAAAAACACAACACAAACTTATGTTTGTTGACTAGCTCGAGACATACTGCATTTTTAGAGCTGCCAATTTAATAAGACAATTTTTAATGAATAATATAAAGATATACACTTATAATACACTATAAAATATCAATTCAATAACTCATACTATAAAAATAATCTCATCTTAACTTTTTGTATTTGAAACTAAATGACTAAATAAAATTATTATTATTTAATTGACCTCATAATCGGAATGGTGCATTTAAAGACTGTAAAGAAAACCAATAAATAAATCTGACAAGAGTCTAAAGGACTATGGGTAATATCCTGGTTCATACCCCAGAATGGTATCACAAAATTTAGTGTACCGTGAGTTTTGAAAATGGTACCCAGAATGCATTAGATTCTGAAATACTAGTGAACAACGGTTTTAATGTACAAAATGTTACATTGCATCAAATACTCAGTACACAAATTATTGTTTAACAAAAACTGTGTTGTAAAACAGTACCATCTCAAATTATACAATAATTTTTCAGTTCTATTTATCATTAATCAAAATACATTAATATCAAGCAAGTAGAAATAATGAAAACATATTAATTTCATAACTATATATTAAATAACAGAAATAAAAAAAAAGTAAATTTATCAGTAAAATATGGAAAAATAAATTGAAAAAAATGAACGTTTTTTCTTAAGATACTTTATCATGAAGAAGTTTCTGATCACGGTTCCTTACGTTCTATGGAGGTTAAAAACAGTTATTCAGTGTGTAAAAAGTTAAACCCTAGGCTAAATGTAAATTTTACATGCAAAAAAAACTAAGTCCATCAATCAGTAAAATACCGAGTAATGAAAAAAAAATATATTTTCAAATTTGGCTTCAGATAATTTCTCTTAATCTTTAACAAGCTTCTGTCAAGGTTTCATAAATTCTCTGAAGGTTTGACATCATTGATGTCCAAAATCCTTAATTCCAAGACTGTACTGTAAATAAAAAAAAAACAAAGTCAATTTATCAGCAAGATATTAAAAAATAAATTCAAAATGTTGCTTTTGATACAGTCTTTTAATAAAGAATAAGCTTCTGTCCAAGTTTCACAAAATTCCATGAAGGTTTGACTTCTCATCCTTTACAACTGAGCAGAGTACCTGTAGTGATAGGCTTGACATTTAGTAAGTGACATGTCGGACAGTATCACTGCAATATAGCCTTTTTGTGCTGGGGCAGTGTAAAACAACCACCAATCAAGCAATCTATCAATCTGTGACGGTTGGTAATTGAAGATTACTTATAATGTAATTACATGTAATCTTGTGACTGTATCATCATTTTCCAATTTTGACCAAAATATTTTTAATTTACATATACAACAATTATAAAACATTTTTTTTTAAAGAATCATAACTTTTCTTTCTTTTTATTTTTTTATCTCACTGTCTTTTAACAAAAACTTAACATACAATCGAATAAAAATACCAAATCATTAAATAAAAATATCCATTACACAAATTTCAAATAAAAATTAAGAACGTTCATTCCCCCCACCCCCACCCTAAGATGTTCTTCAACTTTGATTCTTGTTTACTATACTAAAAATATTAACAATATTTATCTTAATTTTAGATTCTTCATTTTTTACCAATGGAATTGTTTACAATAACCATTATATCCGCCAGACAAAAGTTCAGGTCTACAAGTAAAAAAATTGTCCATGCCATTTAATGGTAGGGAGAAAACAAAAGTTTATTCATAAATTTAAAAACAAAAGATAACACGTAATTAGCTGGAAAAGACTTCTCACATCTTGGTAGACTAAAAGGCTCAATCAACAAAAACCAACATTTCCCATCAAATTGCTATTCTAAGTCTAAATTTCATAACAATACCTGGAAAATATTTACGTATTTACAATATAAAATACAAGAATTTATGCAAAGAACCAATATAATATACAAGAAACTATGCAAAGAACAGTAACTCTTTGAAAACCCACTGACTACGGGTATGCTATTGAATCTTTATTTCAACAATTATTTAACTGTTGCAGAAGTAATCACACGACTATTTTATGCAGCCACAGCAATTGTTATCTGAAAAAGAAATTGACACTTTTCAATGTTTCTGTCATAATTTATGAAATTGAGATAGGAAAACAATGATTAACTTGGAATTACAATTAAAGATTAACTTTTCTTTTAATATTCTTATTTAAGTGATTCATTGTTAAACATTTTAAACTGCAAACAAGGATTTATTTGAATCTGGAATAAATTTGAATTCTGGAAAATTGATAAGAAATGTATGATGAAAACTAACCAAATAAAGAGGGTTAGCCATGAGCCATGCACGCATGGCTATGGTTCGTTTTACTTTCACCGGTATTTCAGTATGGACTAACTAAGCCCACACAGCCATGCATGCATGGCCAACCCTTTAATTAATAGGGCTAGTTTTCATCATAT